TTTCTTTCTTTTTTTTTTTTTTTCTTTTCTTTTTTCTTTTTTTTCTTTTTCTTTCTTTTCTTTTTTTTTTCTTTTTTTTTCTTTTGCTTTCTTTTTTTCTTCTTTTTCTTCTTTTTCTTGCTTTTTTTTTCTTTTTGCTTCTTTCTTTTTTTTCTTTCTTCTTTTTTTCTTTTTCTTCTTTTTCTTTTCTTTCTTTGCTTTTTTTTTTCTTCTTTTTTCTTTGCTTTCTTTTTTTTTTTTTCTTTTTCTTTTTTTTTTTTCTTTCTTTCTTTCTTTCTTTGCTTCTTTCTTTTCTTTCTTTCTTTTTTCTTCTTCTTTCTTTCTTCTTCTTTCTTCTCTTTCTTTCTTTCTTTTTCTTCTTTCTTCTCCTCTTTTCTTCTTCTTTCTTGCTTCTTTCTTTCTTCTTCTTTCTTTCTTTCTTGCTTGCTCTTGCTTCTTCTTTCTTTCTTTCTGCTTTCTTCTTCTTTCTTCTTTCTTCTTTCTTCTTCCTTCTGCTTTCTTTCTTGCTTCTTTCTTTCTTCTTTCTTCTTTCTTTCTTGCTTCTTTCTTGCTTCTTTCTTGCTTCTTTCTTGCTTCTTTCTTGCTTCTTTCTTGCTTCTTTCTTGCTTCTTTCTTGCTTCTTTCTTGCTTCTTTCTTGCTTCTTTCTTGCTTCTTTCTTCTTTCTTTCTTTCTTCTTTTCTTCTTTCTTTCTTTTCTTCTTGCTGCTTCTTCTGCTCTCTTTCTGCTTCTTGCTTCTTTCTGCTTCTGCTTCTTCTTGCTTCTGCTCTGCTTCTTTCTTGCTTCTCTTTCTTCTTTCTTCTTCTTTCTCTTCTTCTTTCTGCTTTCTGCTTTTCTTCTGCTCTTGCTTCTTCTTCTTCTTTCTTCTCTTCTTCTTGCTTTCTTTCTCTCTCTTTCTTCTTTCTTCTTCTTTCTTTCTTTCTTTCTTCTTTTCTTCTTTCTGCTTGCTTCTTCTTTCTCTTCTTCTTTCTTCTCTTTCTCTTTCTTCTCTTCTTTCTTGCTCTTCTTCTTCTTCTTCTTGCTTGCTTCTTCTTGCTTGCTTGCTTCTGCTGCTCTGCTTTCTTGCTTGCTTCTTGCTTGCTTTCTGCTTCTTTTCTCTCTTTTCTTTCTTGCTGCTTTTCTTCTTTCTTGCTCTCTTTCTTTCTTGCTTGCTTCTTGCTTGCTCTTCTTCTCTTTCTTGCTTTCTTTTTTCTTCTTCTTCTTGCTTTCTTCTTTCTTGCTTCTTTCTTTCTTGCTTTCTTGCTTGCTTGCTTGCTTGCTTCTTGCTTGCTTTCTTCTTGCTTTCTTCTTGCTTGCTCTGCTGCTTGCTCTTCTTCTTCTGCTTTCTGCTTTCTTTTCTGGCTTCTTTCTTCTGCTTTGCTGCTTGCTTGCTTGCTTTGCTTTCTTGCTTGCTTTCTCTTCTTGCTTGCTTGCTTCTGCTCTTCTTTTCTCTTCTTGCTTTCTGCTTGCTCTTGCTTCTTGCTTGCTTGCTTTCTTGCTTGCTGCTTGCTTGCTTCTTCTTTCTTCTCTTGCTTGCTCTGCTTTGCTTGCTGCTTGCTTGCTTGCTTGCTCTTTCTGCTGCTTCTTGCTTGCTCTGCTTTGCTTCTCTTTCTGCTTGCCTTCTGCTTTCTTTCTTGCTTCTCTTTCTTCTTGCTTGCTTGCTTTTCTTTCTTCTTGCTTGCTTCTTGCTGCTTGCTGCTTTTCTTGCTTCTTTTCTTTCTTGCTTGCTTGCTTGCTTCTTGCTTCTTGCTTCTTGCTTGCTTCTTCTTTCTTCTTGCTTGCTTGCTTGCTTCTTCTTTGCCTGCTGCTTCTTGCTTCTTCTTGCTTGCTTGCTTGCTTCTTGCTTGCTTTCTTCTTCTGCTTGCTTCTTTCTTTGCTTGCTCTGCTGCTTGCTTCTTGCTCTTCTTGCTTCTTCTGCTTCTTCTTCTTCTTGCTTGCTTGCTTCTTCTTCTTCTTTGCTTTCTGCTTTTTCTTCTCTTCTTTGCTTGCTTGCTTGCTTGCTTCTGCTTGCTTGCTTCTCTTTTGCTTCTTGCTTGCTTTCTTCTTGCTTGCTTCTTCTCTGCTTGCTTGCTTGCTTTTCTTCCTTTTCTTTCTTCTGCTTGCTTCTTTGCTTCTTCTTTGCTTGCTTGCTTGCTTGCTTCTTGCTTGCTTGCTGCTGCTTCTTCTTTTTTTGCTTTTTTGCTTCTTGCTTGCTTGCTTTGCTTGCTTTCTTCTTGCTTTCTTTCTTCTTGCTTGCTTTCTTCGCTTGCTTGCTTTGCTTTCTTGCTTCTCCTTGCTTCTGCTGCTTGCTTTCTTTGCTTGCTTCTTCTTGCTTCTTGCTTCTTTCTGCTTGCTTGCTTTTCTTGCTTTCTTCTTCTTGCTTGCTTGCTCTTGCTTGCTTTCTTTCTTGCTTGCTTGCTTTCTTTCTTTCTTGCTGCTCTTGCTTTCTTGCTTGCTTTCTCTCTTCTTCTTGCTTGCTTGCTGCTTGCTTTCTTTCTTTCTTCTGCTTGCTTGCTTTCTTTCTTCTTGCTTGCTTCTTTGCTTCTCTTGCTTGCTTGCTTGCTGCTTGCTTCTTCTTGCTTCTTGCTTGCTTCTTTGCTTTCTTGCTTGCTTTCTTGCTTGCTTGCTTTCTTCTTGCTTGCTTGCTTGCTTGCTTGCTTTCTTTCTTGCTTGCTTGCTTTCTTGCTTGCTTCTTCTTTCTTGCTTGCTTTCTTTCTTTTCTTCTTGCTTGCTTGCTTTTCTTCTGCTTGCTTGCTTGCTTTCTTCTCTTCTTGCTTGCTTGCTTCTTTCTTGCTTGCTTGCTTGCTTTCTTGCTTGCTTGCTTGCTTTCTTGCTTGCTTGCTTGCTTGCTTGCTTGCTTTCTTGCTTTCTCTCTTGCTTCTTTCTTGCTTTTTTTCTTGCTTTCTTTCTTTCTTGCTTTCTTGCTTCCTTGCTTTCTTGCTTTCTTGCTTTCTTGCTTTCTTGCTTTCTTTCTTTCTTGCTTTCTTGCTTTCTTGCTTTCTTGCTTGCTGGCTTGCTTGCTTGCTTGCTTGCTTGCTTTCTTTCTTTCTTTCTTGCTTTCTTTCTTTCTTTCTTTCTTTTTTTCTTACTTTCTTTCTTTCTTTTTTTTTTCTCTCTTTCTGTCTTTTTCTATTTCTTGTTGTTCCTATTTTCTTTTATTCTTTCTTTGAATTACACGTACCTTGATACTTTAATTTTTTTTATTCCTTCTGTAATCTTTTCTGCATTCTATTGTAGTGTGATAAGATTTTTAATAATAATGTAAAACATGTATACTGTTCAACACATATCAGAGAAAAGCGATCAGGTAAGTGAATTCGTGTGCATGTGCGTGAGTGTGTTTTGTTAGTGTGTGTATGAGTGTGAAAAAGGACACTCTTAAAACTGCTCTTAATTCTTTTGGCATCAACACAGCGACGTGGGAGGCTGCTGCGCAAGACCGTTCTGGATGACGTACCTACCTCAAGCATGGTGCATCGGCCTGCCAGACACCGGAGGGTGCACAGGCAGAGAAATGGAGGCAGACTAGAAAGAATCGTACAGCTAATCCCACACTTACTTCCACCTGTTGTCCTCACTGCTCAAGAACTTGTCAGGCTCATATTGGACTAATCCACCACCTTCGTACTCATAATCATTGATCATTGCTACTTTGGATGAAAGTGGTCTACATCACTCGTGATGGACGAACAACAAGTGTGTGAGTCTGTTATGTGAGTGAGTGAGAATGAAGGGTAAAACTAAAAACGAGAATTTTGAACGAAATGTAGAGGAAAAGAGCAATATGAAAAGTTTGATCGGTGACTTGAATGCTAAGAGAGGATCAAATAACACCGGTTATGAGGAGATTATGGCAAAACTTGAACTAGTAATAATGAATGAAAATGGTGATTTATTCACGATTTTATTAATTTTTTTTTTTTTTTTTAGGAAACCAGTATATTATTGGTCTAAGCATTTTCTCCACATAAAAGAATATACAAGGCAATATGAGAATCAGTTGCGATTGAGACATCTAAGCAAACAGATCATTTGTGTATAAACATCCCTGAAAAGACCCAATCCTTTATTATGTCTGTCGCGCTAGCATGTCTTCTACTGATCCATACAGCCTGGTTTCCATTGGAACGCCAACTGACTAATTATCTGGGATCTCTCTGCTGCATGTAGAGAACATGTCTGTAACACACGTTTACTATTCTGTGGTGCCTGTCCACTTGGGCAAAGTTCTCGATCCTCACTCTTGAATTTCTTGCATTCATGGCAGCATAGTCTGTTGCTTCCAGTACACACTTAGGAGTAGTTGCTGGGTAATGCCACATTATTAATAATAATAATAATAATATTAATAATAATAGTAAAAATAATAATAATAACTATTCTTCTTCTTAAAGTCCATGCCGTGTGACGTTGGTAGTCATGTCATTCACAACCTTCTGTGTCGTGTGCATTCATTCAGTCAGTTCTGACGAAGACGATCCTCCATGCCATAATGTCAAACAATCCAGCATATGTTCTCTTGGTCTCCCTCTACCTCTCCTCCCCTCAAACTTTTCTACTGACACGATGTACTCCATTTGTCTCCTTCTCATCACATGACCAAAGAATGTAGATTGTCTCTTTCTGATGTGGTCAATCAGTTCTTTTCGTGAATCAGTGTCTTTAAATACATCTTCATTACTCTTTATATCTATCCATGGTATTCTCATCATTCGCCTATAAAACCACATCTCCGCAGCTTCCAAACAAGTTTTCACTTATTTACTAACTGTCCATAATTAACATTCATATATCAATACAGGATTTATATAGCTTTTAAGAATTGTCTTTCTCGTCTCAATTGACGGAGAAAGATTGCATAAAATGTTCATTAAAGCCTGTAATTACCACTTGTGTGGCATGGGCAGGAGAGTCTCTGAGTCTGGGGATTTAGGGCCGCGTGTCTAGTGCTGTGACCACAAACTTTACAGGCTAGGTTATTTTTCCCCCTGGCAAAAAACAAATTCCCCACTCGTTGGTACCAAATGAGTTCAATCGATCTGCCTTATAACGAAAGTAGTAGACTGTGCAGTAGTAGACCGAGGTTCAGTACAAGCCAAGCAGGTGTTTCCATGGCAGCAGAAGATGGTCGACAGTTGAGGTGATCAAATCTGAGGACAACAATATGGGGGTTAATGGAAAAAAAAAGTAAATTTACCAACACCGCAAAAGTTGTGTATCAAAAATTCAGTAATTAGTAGTTTTGGTGAATGCTGGTATTTTTTCACGTGGATTTATAGTAAATCTCCCCTGGTCTTTTGGGGACGGACAAACTGGCAGGTTCTGCACAACTTGGTGGAATACTGATACATGATAAGGCAGACGTGGTTAGTGCCTTGTGGGAGAGCGTGTACAGTTCGGAGGAGCAGATGGATCACCAGAGTCTGGTGAGATTGATGCAGCGGGGAGTGACAACAGTTTCTGGCAGATGTTCGAGGCTCAGAATAAAGGCAAGGCGGAACTCTTCGCTGGCTGCTGAAGATGGGGACGGAGCGCTTATGGGAATGCCCGGAGTGCTGTGATGTCGGTTCTTGAAATAAATCAAATCAAAATCAAATCAATGGTCTTTTGGGGCTAAGAACAGACGCCCCAGTGCATAATTGCTCACGTAAAAAATACCTTTTCAGCTCTTTCTCTCTCTCGCTCGTGCTGTGTTAATATGCTCAACACACTTTGCGTGCTCGACAAGAGTTAAATCCAGTAGCGTAATTGTAATACAAAGCAAACATTTTTTTTTAACAAGTAAAAAAAAATTTTTTTCTTGCAATGGAAACTATTGGCGATGATTAAAAGCGTCACATTCACGTTTTGCCATTTGGCTCAGTGTGTCTCTAATATGATGTATCTGCTGTCGTGTTAGCTCCCCTGTGTGTCTCTTCCTCCAATGAACTAAGCCTTTAATTATTGGCTCTACTAAATAACTAACATGTCAAACCATCAAAGTACTGGAGTTTCTGAGATTATCTAATGTTTATTCTTCTTCTTAAAGTCCATGCCGTGTGGCGTTGGTAGTCATGTCTATCAACAACCTTTTGTCATGTGTACTTTCAACCAACTCTGACTAGGATGATCCTCCTTCTCGTCACATGACCAAATAATGTAGATTGTCTCTTACTGATGTGGGCAATCAGTTCTGTCAGTAAGTCAGTTTCTTTCAAGAAATCTTCACTACTCTGTTTATCTTTTCAGGGTGTTCTCGTCATTCATCTATAAAATCAAATCCCAGCAACTTCAAAATAATTGTTCACTATCTACCAATAGTCCATGAGTCACTTCCGTAAATGTAAATAGGATTTATATAGCTTCAGGAATTATCTTTCTCGTCTCAATTGACAAAGAAAGATTGCATAAAATATTCTTTATTTTGTAAGATCCTGCCTTCGTTTTAGTTATTTTACATTTAACTTCTTTAATACATCTTCCATCTAATGTTATCAGTCTACCCAAGTACTTAAACACATCAACTTGCTTGAGGTTTGTCCCGTTTACTTTCATGTTGCATTTTGGAGCGTCAGTTTTCTTTGTAATTATCATGACCATTCTGTTTTTCTGCTGTTTAAACTAAGACCATCATTTCATCATTTCAAAACAGATTGATTAGTATGAGGAATTCGTTTACCTGCTGAATATCCCTGCCCTTTTCTTCTCATACTCCAGCTCTACGAAAGATCCCTCGAACCATTCCTTGCCGTCGACATGCCAGTATTCAAACCCAAGTCTGCACGAACACATGTAGGCACCACGAGAAAAAGGAAAGCCGGCTATCGGGGAGCACTGCAGGTTTGGGGTGAAATAGTGGATATTATTATCATGTGAAGTGGATATTAGTATCATGTGAAGTGGATATTAGTATCATGTGGAGTGGATATTAGTATCATGTGAAGTGGATATTAGTATTATGTGAAGTGGATATTAGTATCACGTGAAGTGGATATTAGTATAATGTGATGTTGATATTAGTATAATGTGAAGTGGATATTAGTATCATGTGAAGTGGATATTAGTATCATGTGAAGAGGATATTATTATTGTGTGAAGTGGATATAAGTATCATGTGAAGTGGATATTAGTATAATGTGAAGTGGATATTAGTATAATGTGAAGTGGATATTAGTATCATATGAAGTGGATATTAATATTGTGTGAATTGGATATAAGTATCATGTGAAGTGGATATAAGTATCATGTGAAGTGGATATTAGTATTGTGTGAATTGGATATAAGTATCATATGAAGTGGATATTAGTATCATGTGAAGTGGATATTAGAATCATGTGAAGTGGATATTAGTATCATGTGAAGTGGATATTAGTATCATGCGAAGTGGATATTAGTATCATGTGAATTGGATATAAGTATCATGCGAAGTGGATATTAGTATTGTGTGAATTGGATATAAGTATCATGTGAAGTGGATATTAGTATAAGGTGAAGTGGATATTAGCATCATGTGAAGTTTCTATCAGTATCATGTGACGTGGATATTAATATAATGTGAAGTGGATATTAGTATCCCCTGAAGTGGTTATAAGTATCATATGAGATGAGATGAATGAAAAATGCGGCTGAAAAGCAACAAAAGACAGAGAAGAAATAATAATAAATGGTAGGCATAGATCGGTAAATGATTTACGAATTGAATAGTTTGAACATCTAGTTAGAACAACAGTCAGTCAGTAGCCAGAATGTATAATATGAGAACAGTAGACTATAAGTCAAAATGCCGACCAAGAAAAAGGTACGAACGAACGAACAAACGAACTTTATTTTCAAAGGGTTACAAATTAGGCACGCAGGCCTGTCTTACATTCGGCCCTTCCAAACTTCCATCTTTAGGTGGAGGGAGCCAAAGAGATAATAAAGAAACGCGACACGAACATAAAAAAAAAAAAAAAAATAAAGGCAATTAGCAAAAGACAATAAAATGCATTTAACTCCTCTTTGCGACAGAACAAACAATACAATAACAAAAAGACGAAATATCATGATAGGACGAATTTGGAACACCCAACCCCCACCCCACAATCCATCCTAATGATTGCCTTAAAATGGCTTATGAAAGTAAAACATTGTATACAGCAGAGAGAAAGAAACAGGAAACTCCTTTGGTCATGTGCTGAGAAAAGGAGCACAGAAAAATTTCTTGACGACTGGACAGATCACTGGTAGAAGAGGCAGAGGCGGACACCCCCCCCCCCCCTCACAAACTCCCTCTCAAAAACAGTGACATTGAGTAATATCATCAGTGGAAGTGATCACAAAAGACCAAGATCTGTGGAGATGCAAGAAAGCCTATACCAGGTGGCAACGCACTTTATGATGATGCCGATGATGATGATGGTGGATATGCAATTGTCTGTAGCCATTGTGTTTTGTCCACTACTTTAACAATGCTTAATAACTATACGATGTTTATCTTAAGCTGAAATCCACTCTACTGATTTATGATTTCATTAGATACGCGAAAAACGACATCCACCCCCCCCCCCTTTTTTTTTTTTCCTTTCGCCCCCCCCCCCCCCCTTTTCCCCCCACACTTTTTTTAAACCCCATTTACCCCGCCTGTTTCTTTCATTTCTCGGTCAGTCATGTATTTAGTCTAACGGTGAAAACGAGATTAACTATCAGAGTATCAAAAAAGATTGATTTTCATTAATCCATCAACTTCCATTTCTCCTCCCCCCCCCCCCCCCCTCCCCTTCCCGTCCGCCCGCCCGCCCGCCTTTTATAAACGTGTCTGTTGCCTTTCTCCAACATCGTACGTCAATAGTTCCGGTAAATTATCTCCCATGTCTCGCGTGTTACGTCATTCCTTAGCTTTCCAGGGTAGTTCCGTAAACACATTATTGTAATTGTCAAATCTTTACACATTGGGACTAATTTTAAATACGTGCTCTTTGCATCTGTTAATTCTTTGTTTGTTCTGTAAACATTGAAATTTGTCGCTTGCTTTGCGGTTTCTCACCCCCTCCTCATTCTCATTCTTTTCTTCTTCTACTTTTTTTCTATTTCTACTCCTTCTCTACCCCCCTCCCCCCCCCCCAATTCCTGCGCACACACTTTCTTATCCACCCCATTTACCTTCTCTTTTTTCTCTTCTGCTTCGTTTTCTTCTTTTTCTACTTCTTCTCCTGCACCTCCTTCTCCTCACGCTCCCTTTTTATCCACCTCATTTACATTCTCTTCTTCTTCTGCTTCGTTTTCTTCTTCTTCTACATTTTCTTCTGTTCCTCCTTCTCCTCACGCTCCCTTTTTATCCACCTCATTTATTTTCTCTTCTTCTTCTCCTACTACTTCTTTCCCCCTCCTCCTCCTCACACTTTGTTTAATCTACATTTTTCTATTTTTATGTAAGCTACTTCTCCTACTCCCCCTCTGTCTCTTCTTGTCCACCTCCTTATCCTGTATTTTCTTACACTTTGCCGAATCCTCTCTCCCCTCTTTTTCTGTATTTTCTTTTTTTCCGTCTGCTCTTTCTTCCACTCTACTTCTCGACCTCCTTTTCCCTTTCTTCTTCTAAATTTTCTGCGTCTCATCCAGACCTTTACAATTACTTCTCTGCCCACTGGGGCGGGGGGGGGGGGGGGGGTGGGGGTGGGGAGGCAACTGGGGGGGGGGGGAGTAGAAAGGGGTGGAATTGGAGGGGGAGAGTGGTTCATGCAAACCACTAGATATGAAACTGTTGTTGCTTCTATTGTCAGAACTAGAATCTTTCAAGCAAACGTAATATCTTATAGATATCCAGTTGAATTTATAAAGCAGCACAGCCAGCCCCCTAAACCAACTACGACAGAAACATAGGTTCCCAAACAACAAATCTGGGTCCATCTAACCTTTCGAGGGGATGATGTTATGAAACGTCCACACGAGCGGCTCAGAAAAGCAGACAGTCAAATTGGCCAAGCTACTTTGCTTAATATCAGATTTAAAACGATCACCCTGCTAACGTTCTTGGTAAAACAACCAGTGTCGACGCACGCCAGATTAAACTGCATCTACCATTTTAAATGCAACTGTGAAGCTGCTTATCTGGGCAGAACTGATCGACACCTGGATAATAGTATAGGTAATAAAAACCAATGCAAAGTAACAATTAGAATGATAATACCGGTCGTAAAGACCATCTCTCAGCAATAGAGCGCGATCTTTTAAAATCTGGACATACTGTAACCAAGAACAATGCATTTATTAAGATCATTAACACGTCAAACAATAGCAGAACTTAAAGATTTCTTGAAACTGCTTCGATTCGTTACCTCCGTTCTGACCTTTGTAAACAGAAAGACATGACTGTGACAATTTGGCTGCCCTGGTAAAATAGGCAGTTGCGTTTGATTGTAATTGAATTTGTACTTCAGTTATAAATGATTAACTTATTTGCTTCCTTTATGTTTTTGTTAATGTAGAATAAAAAATAAAAATAAAAAAAGCAGATACAGCGAAATATGCCAAGGAATGACAATTGTGCAATTTACTGTTTCTGTCTTCTTTGTTCAAATTTACAAAGGTTAAACATCACTTGAAAATTGATATGCCAGGTTACGAAATTGGTTACCATTTAGGATGGGGATGATAAATAAAGGTATACTTTTAAGGTTGACATCTGTTCTCATTTGTGCGGAAACCTCTGCATTTAACGAGTAAATCAAAGGGTCCGCAAACAATTTTGGACACTCGCAGATTGTTCCCCGGTTTGACAAGACCAAGTATGTGACCATACTAAAAACTTTAGTACTGGTGTAATGTACTCTAAAATCGGAAGGTATCCTTTTCGCTATTTCAGTTCACATTGTGTCTACCGAAAGTCTTTCTCTCTCTCTTTCTCTCTCTCTCTCTCTCTCTCTCTCTCTCTCTCTCTCTCTCTCTCTCTCTCTCTCTCTCTCTCTCTCTTAAATCCGTGAACAATGGCTGAGTGAGATAAATCATTTGATTATAAATCCAGTCAAGTCAATTTCACTTAAACAATTGAATTTCAAATGTTTCAAGTGCAGACAATATTAGGGCGAGTTATATAAAAGGAATTTGTTTTGGCAACCTTATAAAAGTTAGTTATGTATCCTTTACATTTTCTGGCGGCTGTGGGTTTTTTAAGGCAAATTTACGTCCAGTAGTTTGCCCTTTCTTTCTGGACGGTTGGCTTCTCGATACCTCTGTCGAAACCAACGCAATACGAATAGTCCACAGCTGTGATCGAACCCGGCACTCCGGCATCACAAAGAGCATTCACAACGACTAAGCCACAGTAGTCGACGACCATATATACTTTGCATTGTTAAGAACTGCGGTAAATCAAACGTTATGGGGCCGAGGTAGAAACGATACTATCAGACACATTGTGGGAAATGTTGTGTCAGGTATAATCCGAAACAGAACATAAAATGGTTTAATCATACTATTGGAATGTAGTAAGATCTGCTAGTCATACTAGTAGAATTCAGAAAGATCTGCTAGTCATACTGTTAGAATGCAGTAAGATCTGCTAGTCATATTGTTAGAATGCAGTAAGATCTGCTAGTCATGCTGGTAGAATGCCGTAAGATCTGCTAGTCATACTAGTAGAATGCAGAAAGATCTGCTAGTCATACTGTTAGAATGCAGTAAGATCTGCTAGTCATATTGTTAGAATGCAGTAAGATCTGCTAGTCATGCTTGTAGAATGCCGTAAGATCTGCTAGTCATACTAGTAGAATTCAGAAAGATCTGCTAGTCATACTGTTAGAATGCAGTAAGAACTGCTAGTCATATTGTTAGAATGCAGTAAGATCTGCTAGTCATGCTGGTAGAATGCCGTAAGATCTGCTAGTCATACTGTTAGAATGCAGAAAGATCTGCTAGTCATACTGTTAGAATGCCGTAAGATCTGTTAGTCTTACTGGTAGAATGCATTAAGATCTGCTAGTCATGCTGGTAGAATGCTGTAAGATCTGCTAGTTATACTGTTAGAATGCAGTAAGATCTGCTAGTCATACTGATAGAATGCAGAAAGATCCGCTAGTCATTCTGTTAGAATGCAAAAAGATCTGCTAGTCATGCTGGTAGAATGCAGTAAGATCTGCTAGCCACACTGTCAGAATGCAGTAGGATCCGCAAGTCATAGTGTTAGAATACAGCAAGATCTGCTAACAGCACAAGAACTTCACCAAACAAACTACCATGGGACAGCAAAATGCCCCTAACAAAGATAATTTATTGACGATCTTAAAGTCAGTTTACATTCACATAACATGGCAATAGCTAGTTCTACTCAGAGAGGGCTAAGCCAGACATATATTCCTTTCCATGAGACTTGATATCTGAATGGAATATGGTCATGGTGATTATAGGGGTCATGATAATAATGTTTGATTTAGTGGCGATGATAATGACGATAAAGATAACGGTTGTTGTTATGGTTGTTATGATGATGATTACAGTAGTTTTGGTTATGATTGTGGTGATGATGATGATGGTTGTGGTGATGATGATGTTTGTTGTGATTAGATGATAATAGTGACGATGATGGTTGTGGTGATGATGATGGTTGTGGTGATGATGATGATTGTGGTGATGATAATGGTTGTGGTGGTGATGATGATTGTGGTGATGATGATGATTGTGGTGATGATGATGATTGTGGTGATGATGATGGTTTAGTTGATGATGATGGTTGTGGTGATGATGATGGTTGTGATGATGATGATGGTTGTGGTGATGATGATGGTTGTGGTAATGATGATGGTTGCTGTGATGATGATGATTGTGGTGATGATGATGGTTTAGTTGAGGATGATGACTGTAGTGATGAAGTTGATTATGGTGATGTTGATGATTATGGTTGTGGTGATAATGTTAGTGTTGGTGATGATGATGGTTGTGGTGATGATGATGGTTGTTGTGAGTATGATGATTCTGGTGATGATGATGATTGTGATGATGATGATGATGATGATAATGATGAAGATGATGGTTGCGGTGATGATGATGGATGTCGTGATGATGATGATGATAGCGGTGATGATTGTGGTGATAATGATGTTTGTTGTGGGACTGAAGACAACAGTAATGATGATGTTGATGATGACTCACCGTAGTGGATAAATAATCGCATCGGGCTGTATTCTTAAAGGCATTGGCCACAGTAAAAGACTGGGGACACTGGTTGATCTGTAGAAGATCTAATGGTACATCCACAGTTGCCACTCCTCTGTAAGAAATATTTATTGATAAACGACATACACTTTTTTACCAGTGGTGTTCAACTTGGCTGGCACCTCCCCCCCCCCCCCCCTCCTTTTTTCCACCCTCCTCCTGTCTTTTTTTTTTTTTAGCCGTGTATAGTATGACGTCAGAAGGCATTCTCTCTAAATGGGTAAGCCATTTAATCTGCTAGTCGCAAGATGCCTTATCTCCACTTTGATATGCTAAAACACATGGGCTTACTAGGAAACGAGCGTAAACGGTCACTAAAACAACTGGGCGAAGCTGCTGAAAGAGCTTCGAGCTGGCTCTGGACGCAACGAGATTTTATAAAAAGTAATGAGCCGAAACAATTGTCGACGAGGGATCATTCTACTAATGATCGGTATACCCCTGCTGTACACGCTTCCCTGTGAAGTTGTTATTATTGCTGTCCTTTTGTGCGATTTTATAAATTATTCCGCGACGAATTTTTCTCTTGTGACCGAATTGTTTATTTCATGTTTAGATCACTCCTGCAAACCTTTTCAGTCATCGCATTTCCATGGTTACCAATAATCTTTAATGGAATTTTTTGTTTGTTTAAGTTTTCTTTTTCTTAAATTGTTTTTCCTCAAAGCTGAAGCCCCGAGAATCTACCTGCGAGTAACTTGATACAAATTTTGAGAAAAGTTGTTTAACAATCTAATACAGACAGATGAAAATATTTCCAGTGTTTTAACGATTCAAAGAATAGGAGTCAAAAATGTACACTCTTCCACGGTATTTACAAAGCAAAAACAGTACTAACATCAACACCAGCTATTTGTGGCTGCAATGAAGTTTCAAGTTAATTTTTGATTGAATTAATTAATAATAATCTGTTATAGTAACATATTTTTGTTTTAGTTACAAATAACATATTTTAGAAACTTTGTTACAACACACAAAGCCAAGGTCGGGTGTGTTTTTATTGGTAGTTTGTACAGTAGATGTTAGCAAAACAAAACATGGTCAACCATCACCTTGATATCTGCATTATTTATTAACAGTTTCCCCGTGTGGGATCCGGGGCCCTATTATAGAGAAAACACGAATTGGCCCACTGCCTACGTTAAAGCATGTCGTAAGAGTCGACTAATTAGGAGCTTCTTTCGAAATTGCATTGCATCTGCCTGAGAGGCAAGGAACCAGCAGTCTGCATACAAATGAGTCAGATGTGTAAAAAAAAATTGTGTAAAAAGGTTCTGGAACAGGATTGCATTCCAAAAGTAGATAAACAACTAGAACTTTTCGAAAAGAAGTGGAGAAGAAGAAATTAGTTAGTTAGTTAGTTAGTTAGTTGGGTTATCATCATTGCACTCCGGACATGTTCATAGGTGCTCAGATCCTCCCCTCAGTATGAACCCCAACGTCCGATGGCTAATAGTACCAGTTCTATGTTGATTAACAAGTCTTCTGGCGTAGCTGGTGTGCGTCTCGTTTTTTGCTGTGCCGATCTTAATTCCCAAGTCTGCCATTCTGGCGAGTGATGTGGATTCACTGCCACTAAAGTCCTCTATTCTTCCCATTTCTATGAGGGCATTGATAATATCAGCATGATCCATAGGCTGACCGTCGGTAGTGATAGCGGATCCAGCCAACCTGTCAGCTCTTTCATTTCCATCGACGCCTGCGTGTCCCGGAACAAAAATAAAGGTGACTCCACGAAGAGTGGACTTCTGTAATGATTCAAGCCATTGTCTTCGCACTGAACCTGCCTGAACCCTCGGGATCATACTCATTGAATCACTGAGTATACACACGCGGGTGTATTTTTGTGTTTCAAGCCAGGCAAGCGCTTGTGTCACTGCCATCACCTCCATCGTCATGCTGCTGGTTGTCATGGAGAAGGCGCCGTTGGCTTCTTTGACTGTTCTGCCCGCTGAGCGTGCTGTAAATGCCCATGCTCTTCTTCTTTGGCGTATAACGGATCCGTCTGTATAGATTATTGCATCTACTTCGTCTGAATTTTCACCGATGAGAGCGTTGACCTCTGCATTAACAGCAACAGGATTCTCTTCTCTACATCGCCTGTTGAGTGTGACAATACAGGAAAATGTACAAATAAACGCCTGAGGCACAGGTATCCATTCTGCACCAGGTATGATGTCGGTTAGGCTGCATATTTGCCTAATAACATCTTCTGCCCGACCTAGCCACGATTTCCCCCTCTTCAGTCTGTCGCCCTTTTATAGAAATTATCATTGTTTAATGTTGGATGTTTCCACAATGCTATTCAAAACCTTTAATTACCTGAATGTTTGTCTCCATGTTTTTGTTAGTAGTGCTTAGGAGTTGGTTTGTTCTTCTCCTTTTAATTATTTGTTTATTTGGTGGGGGGAAAAGGGGGAGGGGGAAGAGGTTAGGGCGTATAGGTCATGCAATTTGTTAGAATGAAGTAAAAAAAAAAATAAAGTTCCCTTTTCACGCCTTTCGGCGCATCGGGCATATGGGCAGAGCGTCCCATATTTTTACAGACCATCAGCACTCTGTGGGTAATGTGGTCAGCATTACGCCGGCTGTCTTTACTTTCCCAGGACAGCCCATCCTGGTTACCCATTTTAGGCTGGGTCGACCACCACAAGCAAAAGTTTAAAACCCCTGCACTATACAAAGAAAACTTTCTGGAGTCTTAACATGTATACACATTCTGGTGTGACTGCTATAAAATGGAGTCTCCGTAGCTAGGTTGTCAAACCCTCTGACTCACGCTTCGAAGATCGCGGGTTCGTTTCCCAGTTGAGTCGTTTGCTTCATGAGTGCACATGTTTTGAAAAATCCACAATGATCGTCGCCAGATCTAGAGAGTTCGTGCTTTGTGTGACATGTGCTCTTGACATGTGGCTAGTCGGCGGTGAAGTGAAGGAGCTGTTTAGGGTTAGTTGTCGTCGGCGGTCGGCAATACACTTTGTGATTTTGATAATTCTGCTTATTATTTTGCGCGTTTGTGTATCGCACAAACAGAGTACGACTATTTTAATTCTTTGAGTCCCAAGGAACGCATCATACGTTCAAAGGTTCCTACCTAGAGGTTCAATGAACGCAAGATGCGCCGAATTTACGTCTATTTAGACTACCCCTTTGGACCTGTGATGCTAAACCCCTTGGGACAAAGAGTTAAAGGTCTTGGAGATATCGTTTCTCCGTAGAATCTTATGACACTGATAACTAGTGAACATCACAAAGACATTTGATGACCCACATCAGAGAAATCCACTGTCGCTTCAAGGCACCTATTGTTGACACCATATAACATATTCCAATATAACTCTCTCTTCCCCTCTCTGTCTCTCTGTCTCTCTGTCTTTCTCTCTCTCTCTCTCTCTCTCTCTCTCTCTCTCTCTTCCTCTCTGGCACATGTCAATGTATTACGCAACGATGACATCTATACTACAGTTTGTTGCAAGCGGAAGTAGCACTTGGATGCTAACAATGATAAGCCACTGAGGTGCTAATCAATAAATGACTACAATCGAGACAGAACTGCAATCGATATAAACTGAGTGTGCCGATGAAAAGAAAAACAATCAAAAGGAACATTTGGTAATTAAACGTTAGAGCAACCAGTAGTTTACTGAGAAGCTGGGATTTAAATGAAAAAATGTAGAAGCAAATTCATGCAGCATTCTCAGTGAATCATGGGTCTAGGCCTGAGGTGAACTGTTAAAGAGAAGGTGAAGAAAAAGAAGAAATGAATAAACTCACTGCCTGTTAGCAAGCATGACCTAAAAGGTGACCAGTCAAGAGTTTCCTTAAATTTGATGCTCAGGCCAAAAGAAGAACAAGTCGAAGAAGAAGAAGACTCGTTATTTAATATGTATATTTATACACGCTCACACACACGCACACGCGCACACACACACACACACACACACACACACACACACACACACACGCACTCCAGCTTACTGAAGTGCAACTTTTAAAATCTCAAACGAAAGTTATAGTATTGAAGACCTTTTTTTCCACGCCATTTTTGGGCATATAGGGCTAGACCTATATATTAAGACCAATTAGCATTTGGTGGTACGCATTCAGCCTTTACTCTCCAGACCTGCACCTCATACCCACTCAAGGCCATTGTTTTTTGTATGTTTTTGTTTTAAGTCCGGCTCCGTTAGAACCCAAACTCGCACCCTTTCAATCCGCAGGCGATCGTGAAAGTTCTAATACTTCACCTGAACTCAAGCTTCGTCCGCAGAGCATCCAGACCAAAAAAGGGACTAACGTACGTCATCACCCAGGCATTCACGTTTCCGTCACACCGGAAGTAGGGACGTGTCCAGTACCCTTGAGCGTAGGTACAGGCTCGGTAAGTGATGGGGTAGAAGCCAAATTTGACGGAACTTTCACCAGCTGGATTTGACCTGAGATAGGCAAATCAGGCACAAGCTTCAGTTTAAACTCCTGACGATTAGACAACTTCTAGATACACACAGACGCACACATGCGCATACACACTCAAACAACGCACACACATGCACACTCAACATTATAAGTAAATTTTTTCATATTCTAGGATAACAGTCTAGTGGTGTCTTCTTCTTCTTCTTCCTTTTCTTCTTTTTCTTTTTCTTATTCTTCTTCTTCTTCTTCTTCTTCTTCTTCTTCTTCTTCTTCTTCTTCTTCTTCTTCTTCTTCTTCTTCTTCTTCTTCTTCTTCTTCTTCTTCTTCTTCTTCTTCTTCTTCTTCTTCTTCTTCTTCTTCTTCTTCCTCTTCTTCCTCTTCTTCCTTTTCCTCTTTTTCTTTTTCTTCTTCTTTTTCTTCTTTTTCTTCTTCTTTTTCTTCTTCTTCTTCTTCTTCTTCTTCTTCTTCTTCTTCTTCTTCTTCTTTTTCTTCTTCTTCTTCTTCTTCTTCTTCTTCTTCTTCTTCTTCTTCTTCTTCTTCTTCTTCTTCTTCTTCTTCTTCTTCTTCTTCTTCTTCTTCTTCTTCTTCTTCTTCTTCTTTTTCTTCTTTCTTCTTCTTCTTCTTCTTCTTCTTCTTCTTCTTCTTCTTCTTCTTCTTCTTCTTCTTCTTCTTCTTCTTCTTCTTCTTCTTCTTCTTCTTCTTCTTCTTCTTCTTCTTCTTTTTAATTTATCCGAGGACATAAATGTGTTGTGTCCGTTTACATCATGGCAACGAAAATTGCTCCATTTTTGCCGACACATCCGACTTATGCAGATATATCCTGCCTAGTTTTATAGCAGATTGCAATATCATTTACGTGCGTTTAGTTTTGTTTCCTAGTTCACAAGAACTAATACTTGGTATTCTGGTACTTGGCTCACACAGTGAATCGTCATGTCGTGTTCATGACTGTTTAACCTTACGTTCATATACTGAGCTTTTCATTCATCACGGGCTATGCTTTTAGAAGCCTGTAGACCTGACACTTCGACTACCTACCGAAAATGAGCCCTGCCGTGTTATGCATGTTATATTTTTATTGCAACGGACTTCCGTGTCTGTTATAGTTTGAGAGGATGGGAAAACTGAAAGTCATGACTGGGGATTTTCTCATTAAATGCAACGCGAATAATTCCCCTAACATTTAACATTGTATTGGGCGATGCGAGTGTTTGAGACAGAGAGAGTGCAGACTATCTGACCGACATGGCAGCTGCTCTAACTGATCCAGCGCTGGAAAGGAATAATGTCACTAAAGCCACGAGAGACGCATACCGCGAAGAAAATCACAACAGGTAGGAATAAGTCTCCTTGTCCGGTTTGGCGGATATGTCAGTGCACACTGTGCAGCCAGACATGAACATTTCAGTAAGGACTTAAGACGTTAACATAGAACGGTCTTTATCAGAGGATCTTTGTACGCTTGTGGAGCTACTGATGAGGAGGAGATCGGAGCACCGACAGATCTCTTTAGAGCAGCGGTTCTCAGATTTTGCCTCGCAATGCACATGTAATGTTCAGTTGTCTTTAATGCGATGAATAAAACTGTTGGAATGAATTTTTCAATATTTCTTTTATGTATATGGGATGCTTAATTAATTTTACACCCAAATCGCTTCACCCAGAAAGTTTGCTCCTGTATCTGTTTTTTTTTTTTAAATGTGAGCGTACGTTGAGAATGCACTGCAGCCTTGCCTTCTGAATACACCTGCATTCTGAACTGTTCTTGGTTTCCTTCATGGTATTTCTGTTTTAAACTGCTGTCTTCGTTGATCTCAAGCAGATATGGAAAAATTCTTGATTTTTGCCGCAGCCCCCCCACCCCCTCCCCAATCCCCCCTGGCATACGCCATCGGCACCCCTGGATGCCGCGGCACCTAGTTTGAGATCCGCTGCCCTAGAGCTCTGAAAAAATATATCTCACTAAGCATTAGTAATATGAATGGTCCTAATGTTTTTGATTCCGGTTTTGGCCAAGATGGCGGGACGTGTTTCCCTCGGGCTTGAATTAAGACTGTTGATCGACGACAGGACAAGCCGCCATCGTAAAACATCTTTTGTTTTAAAATCAGATTTATAGCTCTTAACGTTATGGAAATAAGACAACAGATCAAGCAAGAAAATGCATCTAGCGCCGCTAGAACTACACCGACCATGCACTGAGAATATATAAGACTCGAAAGCTCTCATGTGGACACTCGAAGGGGAAAAGAAAACAACGGGGAAAACAAAGAAAGACTGAGTAGGACCATCATCAGAAAAGGCTCAGCCATGGACCTAATGAGCACCCAAGACCTAAAACAGGTGGCAACGAAACGCCAGACATGGAGAGCTATGAGCTCTGCCCTATGCGTTGCCCTTGGCTCAGGAAGAAAGACTAAGTAACTAAGGTGTTGTCATCACGGTTACTTTCTTAGCACCCCACGACAGTAAATAATAAAAAGTAAAAACAGATCATTTTTCACGCCTTCAGGCGCATCAAGCATATTTTTTAAAGACCAATCGGCACTAGGTGGGTAATGTGGTCAGCATTTCGCCGGCCGTCTTAAATTCCCTAGGACATACATCCTGGTAGAAGTTTTAGGCTGGGTCGACCTGCAACGCCCCATACCATGATACAATTCCCGAAGCCAGCAGTGGGCTTCGATCGCGGTTCTTTGGAATTATGAGTCGGACTCGCACCGCCTAGCCACGGAAGCCATCTTACATCATGACAGTGGTTTACATTATATCCCTATCTGTGGCGAGATAATATTCCTCCCTCGTCAGTACTGTTCCAGAGATGTTAATTCTATAAAATGTGTGTCGATACGTGGTATAGAGAGTTTAGTGAATGCGGCTAACAATGTCATGACCCTAGACTAATAACGTCCGTTCGCCCAAGTGCACATCGTGTAGCAGGTCGTTTGCAGAAAGTCGCTTTTATCACAGTCAGCCTGTTGAAAAACTGGGTCTCTCGACAGGAGAGACTCGTGTACTTTCATATTCAAAGAGTCATTTATATCCTTGGCCCATCTTCGTATTGCTGTTTATTGGCCAGTCCTCCTGTGATGTTCAGATGGTTTGAAATGTCAGTAATTCTTCTTTTCATAGGCCAGGGTATTCTGAGAATCTTTCTATAGCATTTCAGACCAACAGTTCCTATTTTCTCTCTTAGCGACTGGGTCTTACCTAAGGCCTGGGTCTTTCTTAGGGATGGGCCCTAGTGGATGGTTGAAATTTTTCTTTTATAGTGGTTGCTGGACAATGATATGAGAGTCGCTCCGTACAAGAGATTAAGGCCTTTTCACATGATATTCACACAGACAGCAGTGATGCACTGTAGTAAGCCTTGGTTGCGAAGACGTCACATCAGTAAGGTAATTAAAACCGCACAGGGCTGCATTCAGTTGTTCATCATTTTTCTCTCTCCTTAACATTCACCGGCTGTAAACTTTAAACTAGAGGACAGTTCTGGTTGTTCTTTCACTTCTCGACTTTGGTCTTGTTTTATTAACGACTTGAGTGCTGTGTGTATCTCATTCAAAGTTCTGGCTTGTTTGTTGGCAGACGGTTGATTCCTCGCCTCTCAGGCAGGTGAATTTTGACTTTTAAGGATACGTCGATCCTATACAACCTTTCCAGGCTGCTGGCTGCGTACCTGTTTCTATCATGACGCTGGAGATGTTTAGATAGACTTTTTTTTTTTATTTATATCAGCCCTGCTCCACGTGTGGTTCAGCACCATTGGAGACAGATATAATAATTCACAGCAGTGAAAGCACTGACACCAGCTTCCATTTTGGACACGGAACAGTCAACAGTCATAAACATCACAATCATCACATGCCCTGACGTCTGGCCTAGGCGTGTGTGCATCTCCACAGATTTCGGTCCCTTCTCCTCTGGTTCAGGTTCTATCAATGATATCCCTCCGTGCCACCGTCGCGAACCATCTGTCATCATCTCACCGTCTCCCTCTACCCCTTCTACCGTTAATCTTGCCAGTCGTCACAATATTCTCCAAAGCCCTTCCCCCCAAACACACAAACACATGACCTAAAAAAACAGTGACTTATAGTTGTATATATACTGGGTAGGTAGGTAGGTAGATAGTTGTACACCACCAGGACATCACACAAGCGATAAACACCCGGTAACACAAAGTGCCACTATGCGGATGAGGATCACCCATGGAGAGGTCCCGTAAACCCCTTTCAACCGCTAGGCCTTATCTATGGCTAGGCCATATCAATGGCCCGGCTATAAGCAGGGCTCCCGGCAGAAGCCAGGGTGAGGCTTCAAATAACAACAACAAAAAACTGCATCGCACATGGGGATGACTTTCGAAAGAATCAACTTGTGTGTGTGTGTGTGTGTTTTTATATATATATATATATATATATATATATATATATATATATATATATATATATATACTGGTCTGCTTTCATTAGTCAACAGTCACAGTTGCTAGAAAAATGAACACCAATTTACACATCACATCACCTAACATGGGCTTTGATCTTGTATAAGGTCAGCCCAGCAACATTGGTTTGGAACCTGGACTTCGCCTTCAGAAACCACTCCTTGTCAACATATTGCGAAGACTGTCCGGCCGTGTCCATCACGTAAAAAGCATTGTTCTTTCGGAATGCCCAAGGACCAAACAGTTCCCTGGTAGCCCCTCCAGGCTTGCCGAACTTGTTTCTGTGAGGGAACAATATACAAAATTGAGCTAAAGGAAGTCAGCAAACGTGTCAACTATCTCATGCGTTGACAAATCTACACAAGTTATCTGCGTTCAAAGCATATACATTCCCTTTCTGTGCTACCAGTCCAAATATGGTCAGTCACACCAACCCGGAAACAAGTATTAGTAACCATGGAAATGAAATGTATGAGAAGGGCTGCTCTCCAGCTGTTGCAAGACATATATGAGGAATGAGGTCATACGGGAAACAGTAGCCTAAGTGCCAGTTCTACCTTACATACACACAGAGCACGACAAATGATTTGCCTACTTAAAGAGAGTGTCCTATGACGCCAAACCATACAAGGCATACATCAAAAGGAAACACTGTTACTTAGTAGCCTTTTACGACATGCTTGGTGGGTTAGTGGACTTATTCCCCTCCTCCCCCTTTATAGGGTTCAGGAATCCACACAGAGAACCGAGTGCCGATTAGTCAGTAAAAATATTAGCCTATCATAATGTGCCTGATGCGCCCCACTTGAGTAAACTGGTCCTGTACGTACTTAACAAACTGAACAGTATTTACACTAATTCATTTTATATTCGCTAGCACAAGAAAGAGAGTGCCAGTATTCACAATAGTTACTTAACGTCAGAAATATTGACAGCTATTGCGTCTTATTCTTCTTCTTCGTTTTTCTTCTGAAAGTCCATGCCGTGGGGAGTTGGTAGTCATGCATATCGACAACCTTCTGTCTCGTGTACTTTCGATCAACTCTGCAACAGATGATCCTCCATGCCATGATGTCAGACTGTTCAGCATCTGTTCTCTTAGTCGCCCTCTGCCTCTACTCCCCTCCCACTTTTCTACCTTCATGATGTACTCCAGTTTTCTCCTTATCACCTGACCAAAGAATCAGTTCTCTTCGTGAGTCAGTTTCTTTCAAGACATCCTCGTCTAGCAATAGCTATATCTCTTAAATTTGATCGATATGTCGGTGTGTCTTATCCGGGCTGCTATCTCAAAGTTTAGCATGCTCATCATAAGATTTAACAATCATATTCCGGATGGCAGACTAACAAGGCAGATCCTATATAGCCGGTTCGAAGACGTTCTAATTAGGGTGTCTGTATGGAACTAAACCAGCAGGTGTAACCTGCAGTGGTATTTGGATAATTACCATTTCTAACAATAAGATGTAATTCCACAGGCAAGCCATCAACAAGGTTGCTTCTGGATACGTCAGTTAAGGGATTTGTGTGTATTAGTGAGGTTTTATTGGATTTATGTATGTGGTGCTGATGAAGGCTCTATAGCCCTAGCGTTCAAGTTGTGTTTGTGATTGTTATATTGTAAAGCTCGCTGATCTACTTTTTGTTCGGTTTTATATCTTTTTATTATATCAAACATTTAGAACGCTTTCATTATCACGTACTCTAGAGCCAACCTGTTTAATTGATTCAAGGGACAGTAAATATTGCGGATAGGCAGGTTAACTTTTTTTTATTAGGGCATTTTTGTGCTTCCTATAATAGTTAGCTGTAGCACTTTCTGCTATATGTAGACTGAAAGGACATATTCCCATCGCCAAGGAGTTGAGACCATGACGCGACACTGCGAGCTGCGAAAATCAGTTTGAATGCTTTTAGACTGTGCCTACCGTGGCTTGGTTGTGAAGTGCATATTCAGAGAATAATCTGTGTGGTTACATAGGATTAATTTCAAGTACAACTACTGATGTGTTGTAACTGCTGCTTCCACTGATAACAAATTGCATGTCTAGTGCCGGTCCATTTCTACTGCCAACTCTGGGAGGGAATTCCGGTGCCTTATGCGTTTGATTTTCGTGTGTGTGCTATTTATTGGCTTTGCTGAGGATGCAATATGTGTCAGTTCCTTCGTAAAGGACAGGGATAGGCATTCTTAGTGATGTACATAGGTTCAGCAACAGAACAATTTTGGTGACATGTGTAGGCAGTTTGAACTTTTATCGTTTAAATGATTGTAATCTAGGGGTGCTAACCCGGTAAAATGTATTGCAAAAATTATATGCGAGTTATGTACCTGTCAAAGAAGACTCCGGCCGATACAATCCGAAAGTTTCCCATGACATTGGCAAGAACTTCTCCGAATAAATGATCTTCTTGCAAAAAGCCACCACCTTTCAGGATGCCATGATTTTTCTCCGGTTGTGCGTTCTGTTGCGAGAAGAAAGGGCGAGGAAACTCATAGCAGCAGATTAAAACAAAGATACAATGACATTTTTTTTTTTTATTAAACCGTTTCACACAATCAATCAAAATGTGCTATAATGAATCATGGACATTCAACCGAAGACTGTTAACTATATCTAGTTTCGTCCTTTTCAAGACGAATTTTTTTGTCATTTGAAGCCCTACTCTGGCTTTTGCCAGGGGCCGCAATATGGGCAGGCCATACATATGGCCAAATGTCTGAACGCGGTTTCTGGGACCTCTCCACGGCGATCCTCATCCGCATGGTGGCACTTTGTGTCATCGGGTGTTTATCGCTTGTGTGATGTCCTGGTGGGGTAGAAAGTCAGTCAGTCAGTCGAAGACTGTAGAACAATTATACGATCATTTACACTTAAAATTATTTCCTTGTAAATCCACAGTTACTAATAAACTACAAACATTCATTAACTGATGCCTGCGCAGAATAGAAGGAATTAAATGGTATGATAGAATCACTAATGTAGAGCTTTGGGAGAGAACTGAACAAGTTCCACTGGACAAAGAGGTGAAGTAAAGACGTTGGCGTTGGATAGGACACACGTTGAGAAAACCTGAGAACAATATAGCTAGAAGGTCTTGGCAATGGAACCCACAGTGGCATAGAAATAAAGAAGACACAAGAACACACGGAAAAAGAAGCTATAGAGTGAAGTTAAAAAAAAATGGGAAGAGCTGCATGCGATAGCGAAGGATAGAACGACTTGGTGTGAGTTGGTTGAGGGCCTATGCTCTATTGGAGGCTAGAAACGTTGAAGAAAAAAGTCACGAGGCCAGGGAAACAAATCGAAAAAATTTCACATGCATCAGTCTAACTCATGGAAAAAAAAAAAAATAGGATCTAATGGCCAACAGGCAATAACTTATTCTACCATCTGGGATTTCTCAGTTGCCACCTCGTTCAATTAACACTACTTCATCTCACAAGTTCACGTCTGGGTATTGGTTGCTTATGAACACAGTATAGTAATTCCACAGCCTAGCAAAACCATAAACTATCAACAAATACTAGGAATGAATTCTGATGCCCTTATGCGATTAACCTTCATTTCGTTAGACGCGTAGAAGTGAACTGGCTCGTTCCATATATGGAGAAACTATGGGGGTGACTGCAGTCAAGCTATATATAGACCATATATGGACCAGTACCATATTCTTGTGGATACAGTTGTATTAAAATTGTTGTAAATGATATATACAAACCTTTTATTCTTCTTCTTATTATTATTATTATTATTATTATTAATACAACAATCAGCACTCGACGAATGATCAACATAACGCCGGCCGCATTAACTTCCAAGAATATTACATATGGCCTGAACGCCGAGGTCAAAGTTGACAAAATACACCTTCATACAGATTTAAACCCCAGACCCTGAGGCCAGTAGGCAAGATTGTAGTCACTAGGCTACGGCAGGTCAGGTGTTATGCTGCCTATGCAAAGATATAGCCAAGGTTCCATAAAAGTAAGTAGTACATACTTGTAGGTACATAGAGAGAAAGTTAGTTAATCGCAAAGCGGTTCTGCCTTCTGGTTCAAACTGAGTGTGCACTCCATAGCTGACATCTCCGGGAAGGTAAAGTTGATGTTCTGGCTTTTGGTAGCAGTTGGAACTAGTGACGCTGGATTTCTGGCGGAGAAGTCTCATCATTCTGTTGAAATTATATGCAGCATCAATAAGAAGCACTATATATGTGTGTGAACACGAACACACACACACACACACACACACACACACACACAGACGTACATACATACAGACACACGTACATACCTCCCTGTGCTACCAGTGCAAACTAGGACATTATGAAAGGCACACATACATCAGTTAAGAACTTTTGAGGATAGATGCATTAAGAAAGCAGCCAAATGAATCATCGGAGATTGATTGAGAATTGATACGTTTATACGCTTTAACTGTAACGTTTTATTTACAGTTACATTATTACAGAGTAGTCAGGTGATAGTTGTTATGCTGATGATGATGATGTTCAACCCCACCAAGACATCATACCTAGCGATAAACAGCTGATGAAACAAAGTGCCAGCATTCGGATGAGGATCACCCGGGGACAGGTCTCAGAAAGCCCGTTCAATTCATAGGTGGTGTTAATTGTTATGCAAGCAGCATAACCATATTTTTATAGACTAGTGGGCACTGGTTTGGTCAGCTGTCTTTACTTCCCAGGAAATTGCCTACTAACCATTTTCGGCAGGGCCATAATATTCTGCATTCGCATATAAAATGGTTGCTTTAAATTATAGCTAGGCTGCCATATTGTCAGTGATCCACTGGCTATGGTCAAAGAGAGCCTAAAATACACAGACGATTTCCAAGCTTGCAAACGGATTTTCTATAAACAGAGTTAGTTGTTATTATGTTGCAGCTGTGGAGAACTCATTCTAATTGTTTTGCTACATGAGGATGATAGGCCTGCCAATCTGCAAGTCACCATAGACTATAGAGGATGTCCTTAGGAACTATAAACATTCCCCAGTTGTGACCCAGCTAACTCAGCCTTCGGAGACTGAGCCTCGAGAAAACTGTTGTGATGCGCTCTTGTTCCCCGAAAGCGAATGGCAGTTAGCTCTCTGTGTTCTTGTTGATAGCTAGTCTGGGATATCTCCACATTTCGGCTGAAAATAATATACTTTATTAAAAAGCTGTTAATTTGTTGAGTTTAACCACATGTTTGTTAAGGGGCTGTGAGCCATTTTCCTTCACCCTCCCCTCACCTCCAAACATCTCCCAAACCCACTCCCATTGAGCGTCGGAAAACACTCGGGGCATTTTGATAAGTGCGCCGCTCGCAATTCTTACCAGCCTGAACTGAAACACACGGGAAACACTTCTAAATGGTATATACCAAGAGATTTACTCTTCTGTTTGCCGATAACTCACCTGTTAAACGATCCTTCATCAAAAACAGATCTTCTCTGTCTACCGTGTGAACGTCTAGAGAACTGGCCGGCATTAAACCGCTCTACATGCCGGTCTCGTAGCTGAAGAACATGTTCCCGGAGAGCATTTCTAAGATCTGATTGTCTGTAACCAGTAGCCACAAGGACTTGTTGATACGCTTGATGCTCCTTGAAGTCTTGCTGTAAATACACATACATACGTGAAAGGCTGTGTAGTAAATAGGGTTAGAAGCAGGCGAGTCACTTTTCCGGCATGTTATGTGTAGGGATGAATTCCAGAACTTGGTAGCGACTGGTAAGATTGATTGTAACAAAGTTAGGATAAGGCAAACAGATACAAACCTCCATGGCTTAGCTATGTTGATACTGCCAGGCAAGAGCACTGACTTTATCCGTGATTCCATTGATCCTATGAGGATCAGCATGACTGAATGATTAGGTGAGTAAACGGTTGACAGATGTTGTGTCGAATAATAAATAGCATCTTAAATAAATAAATAAAAAGAAAAAATAACTCAAAGAACATTTATTGAATGCCTACTTAGGTCATATATACAATCAAATAATCTATTGCATCGTATATGGCAGTGTTTCCCAAACTGTTCTTAGTCGCAGCGCCTTTTTTTTTTTTTTTTTTTTTGAAATTCTTTCAATGGTGCCCTAACCTAAGTAAAAGTATAACTATTCGTGGTAAGATATAAAAAAAGTAAACTCGTGTATTTTCAAATACTTCTCGGCACCCCTGTAAAGAGGTCGCGGCTTCACTGGGCGCCACAGCGAACTCTTCGGGAATTACTGATAATGGAATAATGTCTCTTCTGAGACAGAAGAGTACATTAGGGATGTACTTTATACGGCCCTTACGGGTGCATGGAAGGTTGTGGATTTTTTTTAAAGTATCCAGAGACCATCAGTTGTAAACCCTTTGGCTCGGTACTATGGATATCGCAACCCCTCGGCCTTGATTCCATTATAGGTACCGTTAATCTAGGATAAATGTGGCTTTTCTGCTTACCCCCGTGAGTGAACCAGGACCACAAGGAGTTCGTCACCCGGCCGCCGCGAAAGTCAGGTTTAACCAACTACGCTAGAGAGCCGGGTAAGGTTGTGGATAGACATGACTACCAACGCCACACGGCATGGACTTTAAAAAGAACAGATGTTCTGGTTATAACGTCTTAGAAGATTGAACGATGTATCAAGGATTCCCCCTGTTGGAATGCCATGCAGAATGAGACGGTTTGTCCTTCTTCTATACTGTTTATCAAAGTGACGTAAATGTGTGCCTGTTTGAAGCCTAACTGAGATATTTGCGCATTTTGCCCACATCCGATTTCTTTGGGCATTTCTGATAAGGGTTAGCCTTTCCGATTAGTTCTGGAGAACATTCGTAGCCACTGCGACTTTGTCATCCTCTGATCAACATGTGTTGTCCCTGAAGGAACCCTTCAGAATAGCCGCGTGCAGACTGGTCGACCCTCAAGGGAAGGTAATGAAAGAGCATAGGATTCCTCCTCCTACAAGGAGATTTCCATAAACGCAGAGATGATACAAGGTGAGGCTGTCTGAGTGGCAGGGAATTTCAAACTTTCACTAAGCCGACAGGATCTACGTTATCAGTCAGTTAGACAGACGAATTAAGATAGATTAACTCTAAGTGCCAGGCGCTCCAGGGTAGTTGACAGCGCGTTGGATGTCGGGTTGACGATCGCTATGTGTGTCCAGTCTCGGGCTCGAGACGGAGGATGGCAGACAAGCCGCATACTACACAGATTAAAGGTGAACATGGCAACCAGGCTGAAGGGCATCGGTGATCATGACACTGAGCCAAATGAGCTATGTTCAAGTGCTTCTGCTAAGTGCAGTGATTCTTTTTGGGTATACAGTAAAGTTAGTAAAGATCCCTTTTCACGCCTTAGGAGCATCGGGTATATAAGAAGAGCATCCATATTTTTACTCACCATTCGGCACTGGGTGGGTAATGTGGTCAGCATTACGTCAGCCGTCTTTACTTCCCCAGGACATACATCCTGGTATCCATTTTAGCCTGGATCGACCTGCGACGCCCCATACCATGATAAAAATCCACACAGCCAGCAGTGGGTTTCGATCGCGGTACGTTGTGATTCTGAGTCGGACTCGCAACACCTAAGCCACGAACGCCGCTATACGCCAACAGATGAATGATTAAGTGTGGAATCAAGTGCCTGGCAGAATGAGTGTTTGTCCTGTAGTTACGTGAGTTGTGTATTCTTTATATGACGTTGCAGACCTAACCCCCAGCATTCTGTGGCCTTTTGTGATTTGACTAAGCAAATGTTGACATTTAGCAGTTAGCCAAGATTGCTAACTGCTCGGCACTTCGCGTCATTGTCGAAATCATCGGATAGGGAACTGCCACTTAATCGTCCGTAGCTAGAATCAAACCTGGATATTTTGGGATTACGAAGAGCGTTCGCAACGCCTAGGACACAGACGTCACACACACACACACACACACACACACACTCACACACAGACACGTACATACACACACAAATACCCACCTGATACTCGATTTCAATGTCCGTTGCCACCAGGTTCTTTCTGGTGTAGTCGTCTGACACCTCAGTCAGTGAACGTGCGATAAATGAGCTGTTTTTCGTGAACGAGTCCTGTCGGTTTGAATACATTGCAAATTATATGATTTTTTTCCCCCCTAAGAAATGACACAATTAAATAAATGAATTGGTATACTATTTCATTTTACAGATGCAGTACTTGTATGTCGTTTTGGCTTCTATTGCATTATTCCACTGTGTGTCATAGACCATCAACCACTGCACTCAAATTCATTCTGTCTATTGCTGATTCTTGCAGATCCAGCCACACCTTTGCTATAATACTCTTTCATCTCTTTTCTTCTTCTTTCATCTACTCCTGGAATGCCTCGCGGCGTCAGGGCAGAAACAGATCTCGGGGGGGGGGGGGAGGGGGGGGGGGGGGGGGGGGGCAATTGTTTAGCTTTTTTTTATAAAGAACTTTTTAGTGCCTCTGATATTTCTGCTGCCCAAGTTCTGCGTGGTCGACCTCTGGTACTGTTTCTGTTGCATCTGTATAGCACTGCACTCAATGGTGCCCTGTCTGCAGCCATTCCTGTTACTTGGCCAAACAATTGGATTTGTTGTCAACTATAAAGTTCAATATTGGTTCTGTGCCGACTCTCTTGATATTCTGGTTCCTAAGTCGATCTTTCCTCGTTACACCTTTTTCTCTATATCTAAATCCTATTTTGTTTTCTCACCGCAATATACGAGTCATGGAACCCTATAATAATCTGGTCACCGTGAAATCGCTCTATATTATGTTTATGTCTTATACCTTAAGAGAGTGTTCGCAGACGTCTCGAAGTTCTGATTGTCAAAATCCACTAGGCAAAGTTAGAGTTAAAATCGAGAAAATCGACTTCATTGTGCAGTGGTTTTATTCTATATGGCTTGGCCTTTCTCTGCAGAACGGCTAGTCGCCTGCTTAGAGCATCACACAAAGCACCAGCTCTGTAACTTCAGCGATCTCCGTAAAATTTGCACTCGTCAAGTGAACGACGCAGCCATGAAACGAACCCGCGACCTTCAGAGCGCTAAGCAGATGGCTTCGCTATTTCGTAGAGACAACGAATTGCTGATATAATATGTGCTTTCCTAATTATTGCTGTACATATGCATAGCTGAAATAAATACTTCAATTATTCGATGTGTAGTAAACTTACTTGTCCTCCTATCATTCCGGCATCTAACCCTAAACTTGACCCTAACCGAGAGGTTGCATACATGGAGACGTCGCTCCTTTTCAAGGCTCGTCCTAAAATATCCCCAGTTTGCATCGCATTGTCTTTGATCTGCCCAAAAACAAATGCCACTTCAAGCCGAACTTTACGGGTGGCTAAGCGCATTTAAGAATACAGTAAAGTTCATTCTAAAGACGACATTCCAGATAAAGATACTTCGGGCGAAAGAAAGAAGAAGAAGAAGAGGAAACTAACTCGCCCCCCCCCCCCCCCCCCCCCCCCCCCCCCCCACCCCCCCCCCCCCCCTCCTCCTCTTTTCATACTAGATTACCTTCCGGTGAACTACCTAGGAAGTCTCTACCAAATCTCACAGCCGACGAGTTGGGCGTGAAAAAGCTGAAACGTATTTTACCTTCAAATATGATTAGACCTCCCCCCCCCCCCCTTTTTTTTTTTCACTCACTAATCTATTGATCGATCGGTTTGTCCCTTTCGGACTGCTGCCTAAAGTTTATTATAGCAACCTGATATTAGAAAATTCAATAATAAGGAAAGTAATAATTTATAGAACATTAATTTATCTTCAGAATGATAATTAATTAAAATAAACGTGTTGCAAATTAATGAAACTGTAGTTTAGTTCATATATTGTTTCTAGAGCAGATTTTTGTTGCCGATCATCTGATAGACTGCGACGCCTAGCGGCACAAGCAGATTTTGACAAAAGAAGAAGTAGTTTAATTTGAGTAGACATCTACTGGATAAACACAATGAGCACACACTCGCCCTACGGAGTTGCAGAAACATGGGAATTTCCATTGACATGGATGGCCTTATAAAAAGCTATAGCGGGCCGTGGCTCGGTTGGTTGGTTTTTGTGGGTATTGTTTTTACACGTTGAAGTAGATAACTTCAAACCCAACCCACCCTTAGTCGCTTCTTACGACATGGCTGTTAGTGTGCAATGTTACTATTCTTTGCTTCCTTCGAGGGTCCCAGTAACACACGACGGTGGTAATCTACTGAACGTTAAGTTGCCGAAAATCCTATACTCCCATACCCCACTGGTTTACGAATCAGCAGTCGGTGTGTGTTCTAATCAATAGCACAATGGCCCTTTTAACTTTCTATGTTTTTTAAAGTACGTATATTAGGCTTAGTCGACTAAGATGTAAAACAAAAGGTACTCTAATTTTATACGGCCACATCTCATCGGTATCGAGATTTGGTAGAGAAATCCCCAGAACGTCCTATAGTATAGAGGGATTAGATGAGGCTTAGCAGTAGTCGCTTTATTCAACACTAGCCCTAACCCTAACACCCCTATAATATGGTACTGTCCAGAGAAACCCCTAGGAATCCCTAGGGATTACCTAAGATTCTCAAAACTGATGAGATGTGGTCGTATAAAATTAAAGTCCCCCCAAAAGATTAACCACCGTCAGTAAAATAAAATATTGAAAAACATTTTAAAGTGCTGGAATTAGCTCTACAATAACCTGTGAAGGATAAGCAAGTAAGATATTAAGAATGTAACCTGTTCATGCCGAAGGCGGTCTGCAAGGGCCATCATCTCTGGGAACGTCAAGTGAGCTTTGTGAGTGCTCTTCTCGTGCACGTTTGATTTGTCTTTGTGCCTTTCACCGATCATATAATCAAATTGTTTGTCGGAAAGGTTTTTTCCGTGCGTTGTCACGTTGATTTGTTCTTTAATAATCAGTTCTTTGTGAAGTAATTCCAAGTTTTCTTGATGGTCTTTGCTTATGTTGTGCCCTAAATGAAAATGTAAAAAAAAAAATTTAACAATAATAATTGATGACAACAGTAGGATAACTTCTTCTTCTTCTTGTGCTTCTTCTTTTTCTTCTTCATCAACATTCAGAGCCTTTGCGGTTCATTGCTACAGTTATCACCCGCCTCGATTCATCTCTCTGGTTGACCTTCTCTTTTCAGTTGGTGACACACGGTGTTTGCAGGTCTGTCTGGAAATTATCTCTCTATCGTCTTCTTGGTAGGATAACTGGTTGACAAAATTAATGTGAGCAAAATTATATGGGAGCAGCGAAGATGTGGTTTTACAGACATCTGGCGAGAGCACCTTGGATAGATATAATGTGTGATACAGATTTCTTGAAAAAAATTGAACTAGAAAGAGAACTGATTGCTCACATTGGTCATTTCTTGAGAAGGGGAGTACATGGTGACGATGCAAAGAGGGAGAACAAGAGAGGCAGTGAGTGGGAGAGAGAGAGAGAGACGGACAGAGAAGATGCTAGACCGTTCGACATCGTAGTAGGGAAGATTATCTTTGTCAGAAATTATTGAAAGTACACGAGATAGAGGATTGTCTTCTTCTTCTTCTGCCTTTCTATCCCCCAATGCAGCATAGGCCCTCAACCAACTCACGCCAAGTCGTTTTATCCTTCGCCATTGCATGGAGCTCTCCCTATGTCATCCCCATCTTTCTAACTTCATTCTCCAGCCCTCTTCTCCATGTGTTTTTGGCCTTCCTTTATTCCTATGCCCCTGTGGGTTCCAATGCAAAGACATTCTAGTTATGCTGTTCTCCTGTTTTCTCAGTGTGTGTCCTATCCAACGCCAGCGTCTTTTCCTCACCTCTTGGTCCACTGGAGCCTGTTTAGTTCTCTCCCAAAGTTCTACATTAGTTATTCTATCATACCATTTAAATCCCTCTATTCTGCGCAGGCACCAGTTAATGTGTGTCTATAATTTATTATTAATTGCCTTCGTTGTTCTCCATGTTTCCGTCCCATACAATAGTGCTGATCTGACATTAGAATTAAAAGTATTTAGTTTAGTATTTCTTTAATTTCTTTTGAAACCACACTACTATTTGCCTGATTTATTCTCATTATCTTTGTCTTTCCTTTATGGATTTTCAGACCAAGCTGCTGTGATCTCGCATCAAGTATGTTTAATTTATCTTGCATCTGTTTCCGTGAATGGGACAGAAGAGCAATATCATCAGCGAAGTCCAGGTCATCAAGCTGTTTTGTAGGGGTCCACTGAATATCATTCTTGGTGTTAGCAGTTACTGTTTTCATAGTCCAGCCTATAGCCAGTAAAAATAAGAGAGGCGACAAAAGACATCCCTGTCGCACACCTGTTTTTATTTCAAATGCATCTCTTAGCTTTCATAAAGAACTCGACATATTATGTCTTTATATGTTGCATTTACTAATTTGATAATTTTCTGTGGGATTCAATAGTACACCATCAATTTCCAGAGAGTTTCCCTATCAATGCTTTCAAATGCTTTTTCAGTTTATAAATCCAATGTAAAGTGGTGAGTTCAGTTCAATGCTTTGCTCTATTATAATACGTAATGTGGCTATCTGGTCAGTACAGGATCTGTGTGACCGAAAAACTGCCTGCTCATCTCTTAGCATTTTATCAATAGCATCTTTTAATCTTCCCAAAATAATTCTACTTAACAGAAGATTGTGGATAGACATTACTACCAACGCCGCATGGCATTGATTATAAGATGTTCACCTGAAGGGAAATGTGTTGTATTCAAATGCTCACACTACATATTGTTCATGCTGTCGGTCCCATTCGCTGTTCACCTATATGAGTAAAGGGGACCGACCTGGCGTTGGCGGCTAGACGCCTGCCTGCGGATCGGAAGGTAGTGGGTTCGCGTCCTTAAAGAGCCGGACATTTTTTTTTTACACTATTGACCCTGACTGCCAGGTCGACCCAGCCTTGAGTAGGTGCCTGGTGTAGACCTGAGAAGTAAAGGTGGCCAGAGTGATGCTGACCACCTCACCCAACAAGTGCCGATTGGTCTTTAGAAATATAGGTCTAGCCCTATATTCACAATACGCCTAAAAGCTTGAAAAAGTGACCTTTACTTTACTATCTGAATAAGGAGGCTAATACCACGATAGCAATCTTTATTTCTGAATATTTCCAGGCACCTGCCCGAATACATACATACATATATATATATATATATAATTTGCTCTGCCAACTGGCGTAGGCGCTCATGCGTATCCACAGATCACGATCCCTGGTTGCCTGAAACAGCTCTCTTGATTATATCCCTCCATTCCATCGTTTCAGCCCATCCGGCATCGTCTCTCTTGGTCTGCCTCTACCCCTTTTCCACTGATCTTTCCAGTTGTCAAGATGTTCTCCAATATATATGTGTACATGAATATATATAATATATATATATATATATATATATATATATATATATATATATATATATATATATATATATATATATATATATGCAGAACTTCTGCTTATTCTTTTCGTTTTTTCCTGTCAGTAGTTTCCAGAGGACACGTCTTCATCTGATCCATACAGCCTGCTTTCCATTTAAATGCCAACTGGTTAATCCTGGGTTATTGCTACTCCTGTTGCAGAAAGCATTTCTGTAGCACATATTCAGTTTTCTGTGGAAGCCTGTTCACATAGGCAATGTTTTGAATCTCCAATCTTGAATTTATTGTACAAATGGCTGCAAAGCCTGTTGTTTCTAATGTGCAGTCTGAATACTTGTATAATGCTGTGTTTCTTTAGTGAGCGAAAGCTGAATCAGTTTTAAGGATTGTATCTTGCATGGAAAGTGCTTCAAGTGTGTACAAAATGGCTGTATATATATATATATATATATATATATATATATATATATATATATATATATATAATATATATATATATATATATAAAACAATTGCCCGATGCCTCAGAGATGTTAATTTTCTGAAAAATGCCTAATAATCTTTGGACAGTTACAGCGAGTAACGCAAATGTTATGAAACAGGTGAAGGGCGAAGACAATTTATCAGACACATCAGAAGGAGAAAATTAATTGTGTGGTCAGTTAATGAAACATGTCAAACTCAAACATGTTGTGACTACTGAAAAGATATATCAGAATAGAGATAGAGGAAGACACAATTGAATGATGCGTTATAGATTTTGTCATGGCATTAAGGGGTGCCAACACAAGAACTGATGCAGATTGTTGGAGACTGCGTGTTTGCAATATCACTGACACAGTCGCCCACGCTAGTCGACATGGTACTTGATGACGATATTGATTTTAGGCGCTCTCGACTTTTGAGCGCAGAAGTTGATTAACAATATTATGGACTGGATTAAGATTGAATATATGTTGCCAAAAAGAGAGTAATAGTGCAGACATCAAACTTGTGTGACGAGTGTAAAACATACGTTATACTCGTATACCAATTCGAGGGGAAAGAAGCATCGACTGAGATACATACATGTCGTACAGGACCTTTTTCGAACAGGTCCATGTTCTTTGGTTATATCATCTCCATCTTTGTCTTGTATCTGTACATCTCGAATGTTGTCAACCATCGGTTGGACCAAGCCATCTGGTCAATGAATTGAAGGTATTACGGTAGGGAATGGGAAAAAAACCACACACACTAAAAGTTTGACAGAAATTACAATAACCATGCCATTATATTGTAACATGTCAATATTGTTGTTAAGGTTGTCAAGAGTATTAAGCATATGCCATCAGAGTTCAGATGCACATCATGACGTTTTAATGACAGCTAAAGATGACCGCTCTAATTTTGACATGTCCCATAGAGGAACAATTTGTGTTATCCGTTTGCTGATCAAAAAAGGGGGTAAAAACTACAGCCATTTATCGGTGAATAAAGTTCCAGTATTTTGATGCATGCCTGCGAGTCCAGCAAATGTATGACTAAAGTAAAGATCCCTTTTCAATGCCTTTAGGCGCATCGGGCATATAAGAAAAGCACCCATATTGTTACAGACCAGTTGGCACTAGGTGGGTAATGTAGTCAGCATTACGCTGGCCGGTATGACTAGAGTAGGAAATTTCGAAACGGCTGCAGTAGACTCTGGAGGTTCACTGCTCAGTGTGCCCGACCAGTTGGTGAACAGCCTGTCGCAGAAATCACACTGTTTTGAAACTCCCCTCAAGAAGTAGCTATGTAGGAGCTAAGCTCAACAACAACAACAACAAAATAACAAATCGTCACGTTAAACCATCATACCTGAGTGCGGAGCTTTAGGTTATAATTGTGATTAGGTTATGTGCGCCATATAAAATGGCTTATCATTGCACGCCACCAATAGCCATGAAAAAGAACCATGCAGTGTTGATACGATCAAAGGAGACTGAAAGAAATACTGTCCCAACCGGCAACGACGTCGTCTACCGGCGAGCCAATGGGCGACCTGGTGGCCAATAACCCATCAAGAGACTTGCTATCACTTTTGTAATAACTAACAGGGGAGCGAGACGTTACTCCCTCAGAATCTCTTCATGGCTCAACTTCCTGCAGTCCCCAGTATATATAAATTCTCTAAGTTTGTATACAATACATATCCTACTATTTTAAATAAGCAAAACCTTGTTAACATCAACTCGCTTAAGACGAACATTCGGTTAACATGGACAAAATGATGGTTCCAGCAGGGATGTATTTATTTATTATTTATATGTATTATTTAGTCCCTGGTTAGCAAAATTTCTAACAGGAACTCTTGATTTTTCTGCCCCTTTGATTTCCTGTCAACAACATTTGACTGCATATTATTGCCGTGGAGCACATTGTTGTTATTATTATTATTATTATTATTATGAGACAATAAACAAGGCTTGTGCCACATTTAGGCCATCCCACCCTCAAATGTTAGGGGGTTGAGCAGCTTCCCTCCCCCACCCAGAATTTTTCTGTGCCTACGCCTCTGATAGCTAAAGAGGTAGGGATACCGATGCACCTTAAAATGTTTAACTCGTGCACTAGCGAGCCATTCGCCACACGTTAGTTAAGCTCAGCTGACATCGTCTACTGGTGTCAGCTGACATCGTCTACTTTTCCCAACTTCTGGGGACCCATTTTTTCTAACACTAATCGGTTAGATCCACGAAAGTTCCCCCAGAGACCGCCCATATAGACACTAGCTCACTTCTGATTGATCGACCTTGAGTTACTAAACTTCTCACACTGCTACGAGGGTGTTAGGCATTTCCGTTGATATCGCATGTTTTATATTTAAGCAGGCCAGCAGTTTTAACACTACAAAAATATTTAGAAATTGGGTCTAACACACAACCCCTCTAGCGAGTGCTGCAACCTATGTCGCAGGCATTCTCTTTCTCAGAAGAATCACATAAATACAAGATAAGTCAGAAAGCAAACAGCACAGCGGCACACCCGTAACCCCCGGACAGCAGACCAGTGCAAAAAAGTTATCAATTAACATGACCTAGTTTAGTTGGGGAGGCGAACATGAAAATAAATCCATAATGTTAAAAAAAAAAGTCATAGTTTGTTATAAAGGTCATGCCATCAAACGTTAATAAATATCTGAAAAGCTTTTGTACGGATCAGTTCGAATTTTTGCATGTAGTCGTGAATGTACCATATATTTATGATCTCATAATTTACGGATTACCTTTAAAACATGTGCAGTTTCATGTTTTAGAAATGTCGTATCACACTATTACTGTAAACATGGTAACTGAATCCTTTGTATCAATTAATGTGGTTTCATATGCCACAAATAAGGCAAAGCGCCGTGTCCGTGGATTAGGCTTTTTGAATCCGACTCGTAATTCCAACGTACCGCGATCGAAAAGCACTACTGACTGAGAAGAGTTCTATCGTGGTATGGGGCGTCGCAGGTCGACCCAGCCTAAAATGGTTACCAGGAAGGCTGTCCTGGAGAAGTAAAGACGGCCGGCGTAATGCTGACCACATTACCCACCTAGTGCCGTTGGTCTGAAAAAAATATGGGCGCTCTTCCCATATACCCGATGGGCGTAAAGGCGTGAAAAGGGATCTTTACATACTTTTACTTTACAAGTAAGCAAAACAAAAAACGAGATGGCTTTTTACATTATAATCATTTTCTACGAGGACATATTACGTATTTACAGGCTGCATACCAAATTTAAACAGCTTGTTGGCTATTGGTGGTATGAATACACGTTTAGTATTTTGCAGGCAGATAAATGTACGCCAACTAAATGGCATGCAGCAGTCAAGTAGGTGGATGGATTGGCAGACAAAAAGACCAGATTTGGCAGAAAGATAGACACACGTGGGTCAAAGAAATGTGTGCTAGATATAAATGCTTTTTATTGGTACGTATATAAATGTTAAAACAAACGCAATGTATGACCAAAGAAAACATACAATTAATTGCACAATTTATTGCCTATGCATATTTTGTTGTATCTCATCAGGTGCCTACCAGTAACAGTTAAATAAAATGTATAATCAAAATAGCATCCTTTTACAATTCAAATATATCTGTTAATCTGATTCATTACATTTTTTTGTTTGTGTCTTATTTGTTTGAGGCGGGTGATATCTGCAGCAATGAACCTCAAGGGCTCGGAATGCAGAAAAAAAGAAATATAAGTCTTGTCTGTTTAAAACTTTCAACAGCACAAACGCTGGCTTTAAACAGCCATATGTTTCGTTAAGTAATCGTGAGATATTAACTTACAATTAGTTGGTTCACACTGGAAACCCTGCTTGTATTCCAGCTCTGTAGCCTGTTCGATCTCAGAACCCAAAAATCCAGGGTCCAGATTCCATGGATATTTCGTGCCGGCCTTACAGACACATTTATATCCTCCCCTCTTCAATCCAAACCCTTGGATATGCTTGCACTGTAAAGGGAAAGCGGTTTTCTTTATCAAAAATCTTAAACATTTGTGAGGCAATCAGTCAGGTATTCAGTCAGTCAGTCAGTCAGTCAGTCATCATTCAGACATTCAGTTAATAATTACGTTAGTTGGTTAGTTAGTTATTTAGTTAGTTAATTAGTTTTAGTTAATCAGTTAGTCATCCAGACAGTCAGTCACTCAGAAAAAGGAGAACCGAATCCAAGAAGAAGAAGAGGAGTCATTGCCAATTTGGAAACTTGAAGGTTCTCATTATCGTGTAGCAGGTTCTTTCCAGAACGTTGCTCTTATCACTGTCTACCTGAAAGAAACTTGGCCTTTCGCCAACTCTCTCACCTTATTTCTTATGCAAAGAGTTATGTGCCAATCTTCGTGTTGGTCGGCCCCTGTCCCTCCTTCCTGGTACCATGCCTTTTGCTATTATTTGCTTTGAAAGTCGGTCGTGATGGTTGATAATAGCACTTGATCAATAGCTTTAACAAGGCTACCGTAAATAACAACTCCGTGTGCCGTTCCGTGACTCATAGAAGTAAAAAGTAGTTTGTCTTCTCCACATTTGCATACTAAAGGATTAACATATCAAGGATGAGAATCAAACAGCTGCAAATCCCGGAAACCAAGTCCAACCGTTTGGTCATGTAGCAAAGTTATAACAGAGCACCCTGTAGCGGTTACAAAGTAGCTTGTATTGCACTGTGCGAGGGTTATTAAGTGAAAAAAGTAAAGGACCCCTTTCCACGCCTTTAGGCATATAGGGCATATAGGGCTAGACCTATATTTTTAAAGACTATCGGCACAAGATGGATGATGTGGTCAGCATCACGCCGGCCGCCTCTACTTCCCGGGCCTGCACCCGGTACCCACACAAGGCTGGGTCGACCTGGGAGCCAAGGTCATTTTTGAAAAAAGTCCGGCTCCTCCAGGGAGCGAACCCACGACCTTCCGATCCGCGGCGAGCGTCTAGCCGCTCCGCCACAGGGACTCCCACGAGGGTAATGTAGCAAGATGGGCACTCACGGATGTAGTCTTCTTGCACTTGTCTATGCCGGAGAGGTAGCTGGGTCCAGGATTTCCAGGACTGACACCACACGCGTTGAAGTCGATCTTGTTGAAGTCTATGTCCATGACGATGAGACCTATAATTCTTGTAAATCAGAATATTTGGTTCTTTTGCTAATAGTCGAAATAACATCAACAAAAGTTTAGTGTTTGATTACTGAAATAACATCAACAAAGGTTTAGTGTTTGATTACTGAAATAACATCAACAAAAGTTTAGTGTTTGATTACTGAAATAACATCAACAAAGGTTTAGTGTTTGATTACTGAAATAACATCAACAAAAGTTCAGTGTTTGTTTACTGAAGTAACTCAACAAAAGTTTCGTTTTTGATTACTGAAATAACATCAACAAAAGTTCAGTGTTTGGTTACTGAAGTAACATCAGCGAAAGTTTAGTGTTTGATTACTGAAATAATATCAACAAAAGTTTGGTGTTTGATTGCAGAAATAATATCAACAAAAGTTTGGTGTTTGATTACAGAAATAATATCAACAAAGGTTTAGTGTTTGATTACAGAAATATTATTAACAAAGGTTCAGTGTTTGATTACTGAAATAACATCAGAAATGCAGGTTTACATTTGACTTATTATTGAAAAAAGAACCAAACATTTAGAGGTTTTTCTATGGGCTGAGTTTCTAAAAAATAGAAATGTTACAGTGAAGTGATCTTTTAAATTTTCTTTTTTTTGGCTGATTGTTTGAGATTAAAAAGACACACACACACAAACACACAAATGGACCATATCTATTTTAGGGCCTTGCGGTTCGTAGTGAAAGCCAATCGAAAATCTTTAGTGCAAGACAGCCTAGCATATGACACCACAACATCTAACATGAGAATGGAGGGGGAGGCGGTAACCGCAGCTCTCCGGTGGCTAGAGAAAAAGATGCACACACAGGTCGTAATTGTAATCTGAAAGCATGCTGAGAAATGTGAAGACAGGGATGCTTCGAGCAGAGTGGCAAGCTTTACTGGGAAGGTTACGGGTAGTGAGCATACATTGGATCTTTTCTCCAGGCCGGCGTTGTGGGTAATTAACAGGCGGATAAATTGGCTGAATCTGCACCACTGGGTGGTGAATTGATATCTTAAAAGGCAGATTTGGTCAAGGCCCTTTGGGAACAAGCAACTGAATCAGTAAAGAAACAAGATTATTTAAGCCCGGAGAGAATGAGGCATCTGGGTATAACCAGAGGGTCCGGCCGGCTCGCTACACTCAGATGAAAGACACTACGGACATATAACCAGACTGTGACCGGTACCATCATTTTTGGAACGCTGCGCTGGCTGCTGAAGATGAGGACGGAGCATGCATAGAAATGCCCTGAGTGCTGTGATGTCAGTTCTTGAATCAACTCAACTTAGCTCAACTTTGAGTTTAAAATGCTGCTGTTGTTGCTGCGGCAGACGCCGCAGCTGCTGCTACTATTACTATAACTACTACTACTACTACTACTACTACTACTACTACTACTACTACTACTACTACTACTACTACTACTACTACTACTACTACCATCAAAACAAAAACAAAAAAAGAAAATTAGGAAGAACAAGCAGAAAAATGAAGAAGTAGCAAAGCAACAGAGGCATCTGCGATGGCGGTAGCAGCAGCAGCAGTTGCAGAAGAAAAAAAAAGAAAAAGAAGAAGAGGAAGAAAAAGTGACTCTCTCTCTCTCTCTCTCTCTATATATATATATATATATATATATATATATATATATATATATATATATATATATATATATATATATATATATATCAATAGGTTGAAAAGGTATCTTTAAAGTTTAGTTAATTTAGAGATTTACTAACCTTTGCCTTCGTAAGTGGGTATAGTTTGAGTATCTGGGCATGTAATCAACCACAGGCGACACGGCACTGACCACCCATTTATTGGAACCACCACAGTCGAAATAAGGGGCTGTCCATTGGACTGGTAGCATTGTAGGGTCTTTTTCATTGGCTCCGGGCATGGACGGACCAAAGAAGGCGAAGCTTTCGTATGTCTTTGTCATGAACTGGCCTACATAAGAGAAGCATAGCAGGTAAGAAGATGTGGGTAAATAGAATATGTCTACTAAAAGGGAGACTTTACATTTAAATATATCTAAATTAGTTATTTACTGAACAAATGTTACAAGGGCAGATGGTTACATTATACAAGAATTGCTTATATGTTCATTTATCTTTGGTGGAAGAAAATTATCGACATCTGGCATGATCTGAGCTTCGAGGAGATTTGGCTCATAAACAAGATCCTGTCCTGAAAGCTGCGGTATTTGGGTCTTAATGAACGTCAGGATGGCCTGCAGCGAGAACGGTAATTGAGGCTACAGTTTTCGGAAAATGAAGCAGAGGCAGGATTAAGAGAAGGGGGCATTCATGGTGTTAAAGATGCATTGATAGTGAAAGCACATGCTGCTGGATAACTGACTAGAGGAAGAGAGATTTGCAGGTGTGCCGAGATGTGGGCAACATTCTTATGAGTACCTGATGATTGGTGCTGAAATGTGTGGCGAAGTCCAAAAAGATATATCGAATCCTGCAATCTTTAGACTTACGAGGCATACAGTTTGAAGACTTCGACACAACGACAGCCAGTGTAAAACTGAAATAATCAGCAAATACACTTAATTTGTTTTCAGAGAAAGTCAAAGCATCTGCAAGTTTTCCAGGACGGCTTGTTCTTCTTTATACACTGTAGCATTTAGCTTTCTATTGAGAACCCATCTTATCATATCCAATCCAGCCCATTTTGTAAAATGCGTTCAGGAAAAGGACGACATACAGCTGGAGTGCTTGCTTTTGGAGATTCCGTCTGTTAATTCCTCTGTTATTGTTTACGATGTCGTCGACATCTCTGTTAATTTCCTCTTGGTTTATATATCATTGATTTTTCTAGGAATGAGCAATATGCTACGTAAATTAAGCTTTGTACTAAGACAAAACAAATTACTTGACAATGGCAGGACAGATAAGTTATTTTTTCTAACGGAGATTATAAATCACAATTAAACAATCATTAAATACATTTTGCTGATGCCTAATTCTGCAGGCGTCGCAGATAAGGCCAATGATGGGCTTTAGGGATAGTGCGCTCTTATTAGATGGCTGAATGGTGATATTGTTGAGTTTCAGTAAGTTGTTTCTTTCCATATTTTTCTTGGCCTTCCTCTGCCTTTTGCTTTTTCCGTGATGAACTTGGTAAATGCCTTAAGAAAATTCGTCACATGGGACTATTATGTATTGTAATAACTCCTACTTCCTTTACATCGTAAATACGCTTATGTAAAATTATGTACTACGCTCTATATGGGTACATACAAGATATGAATGCAACTGTACCCGTTTTATTCGAGCGTTTAATGCCAACGTGATATGTGAATTTGGTCAGCGAATCTTTGTCTCCAGTTACATCTGGCAACCATGTTTTATGCCTGTCCAGAAAAAAAATGAAACAGTAGTACATTTAGAGTGTTCTAATTATTATTTCCTCTCATTATATAAGTTGTAGCAGCCATTTCAAAAATAGAGTATTACATATTTTTGGCCTAATACTCTAGTCTGTTGCAATGGTCGTGCTTACATAAAAAAATATGTCACACTGTAACCGCTTGGTGTAAATTATTAAAATGTGTCTTGCAACCTGTTAATAACAATGTCATTATAGGAGAATTATTATAATCTAAACACACATCTATTTCTTGTTTCGCCTCATTTATGGTGTATTTAAAAAAAAAAAAAAAACATTCAAAGCATAAAGTTAACATACTTAAGTAAATGGCTTGAGGTGAATTTATCAATACACCACGTTTGAAGTGTTTTAGAGGTAATCCGTGTGAGAAACTAAGGCTCGCGTATTTGAAATATTCAAATGAATATGACATGACTCTTAACATGCACACGTTCTGTTTTAATTACTGTTATTTTTTTTGCAGGAGGGGGGAGGAGGGGGCGGGGGGGGGGGTCTATATAAATTATTAGTCTGACAAAAAGTAAAATAAATGTCGCCGCTGAAATCATACAGAAATACCTGCGCACCTGGGAATCATGAAACAAAATAAACATGCGAAATCTAAGACCACATGAACACCTTCGTACTGATCCGTACAGGCGTTCTCGATATTTTTGTTTTAGTTTGGAGGCTCAACTTTTGGACAACTTTTGACAACTGCGGAAAGCTTTAACTATTCTTCTTCTTCTTACAATTCTCTAGGCAACTATAGACCCATTTCTCTACTATCTTTCCTATTTAAACCATTAGAGAAACACATACATAAAATAATGTTTCAGCATTTAAATAACAACAATCTTATAGTTGATGGCCAGTCAGGGTTCAGACCTAAACACTCCTGTCAAACTGCGTTGACAAAAATGACAGACAACTGGCACCTTAACATCAACAATGGCAAAATTTGCGGTGCGGTATTTGTTGACTATAGAAAAGCCTTTGACATGGTCGATCACAATATTTTAATTAGTAAACTAAAGATCTTAAAAACTAACGATAATTTACTGACATTAACAAAGTCATTTTTGACTGCGTGCCTAATTTGTAAACCTTTGAAAATAAAGTCCTATCTATCTATCTATCTATCTATCTATCTATCTATCTATCTATCTATCTATCTATCTATCTATCTATCTATCTATCTATCTATCTATCTATCTATCTATCTATCTATCTATCTATCTATCTATCTATCTATCTATCTATCTATCTATCTATCTATCTATCTATCTATCTATCTATCTATCTATCTATCTATCTATCTATCTATCTATCTATCTATCTATCTATCTATCTATCTATCTATCTATCTATCTATCTATCTATCTATCTATCTATCTATCTATCTATCTATCTATCTATCTATCTATCTATCTATCTATCTATCTATCTATCTATCTATCTATCTATCTATCTATCTATCTATCTATCTATCTATCTATCTATCTATCTATCTATCTATCTATCTATCTATCTATCTATCTATCTATCTATCTATCTATCTATCTATCTATCTATCTATCTATCTATCTATCTATCTATCTATCTATCTATCTATCTATCTATCTATCTATCTATCTATCTATCTATCTATCTATCTATCTATCTATCTATCTATCTATCTATCTATCTATCTATCTATCTATCTATCTATCTATCTATCTATCTATCTATCTATCTATCTATCTATCTATCTATCTATCTATCTATCTATCTATCTATCTATCTATCTATCTATCTATCTATCTATCTATCTATCTATCTATCTATCTATCTATCTATCTATCTATCTATCTATCTATCTATCTATCTATCTATCTATCTATCTATCTATCTATCTATCTATCTATCTATCTATCTATCTATCTATCTATCTATCTATCTATCTATCTATCTATCTATCTATCTATCTATCTATCTATCTATCTATCTATCTATCTATCTATCTATCTATCTATCTATCTATCTATCTATCTATCTATCTATCTATCTATCGATCGATCGATATCTATCTATCTATCTATCGATCGATCGATCGATCGATAGATCGATCGATAGATATCGACCGACCGACCGACCGACCGACCTACCTACCTACCTATCTACCTATCTACCTATCTACCTATCTACCTATCTACCTATCTACCTATCTACCTATCTACCTATCTACCTATCTACCTATCTACCTACCTACCTACCTCTCTACCTCTCTACCTCCCTACCTCTCTACCTCTCTACCTCTCTACCTCTCCATCTCTCTACCTCTCCATCTCTCCATCTCTCCATCTCTCCATCTCTCCATCTCTCCATCTCTCTCTCCATCTCTCTCTCCATCTCTCTCTCCATCTCTCTCTCCATCTCTCTCTCCATCTCTCTCTCCATCTCTCTCTCCATCTCTCTCTCCATCTCTCTCTCCATCTCTCTCTCCATCTCTCTCTCCATCTCTCTCTCCATCTCTCTCTCCATCTCTCTCTCCATCTCTCTCTCCATCTCTCTCTCCATCTCTCTCTCCATCCCTCTCTCCATCTCTCTCTCCATCTCTCTCTCCAGCTCTGTCTGTCTGTCTGCCTGCCTGCCTGCCTGCCTGCCTGCCTGTCTGCCTGCCTGCCTGTCTGCCTGTCTGCCTGCCTGCCTGCCTGCCTGTCTGCCTGTCTGCCTGCCTGTCTGTCTGTCTGTCTGTCTGTCTGTCTGTCTGTCTGTCTGTCTGTCTGTCTGTCTGTCTGTCTGTCTGTCTGTCTGTCAAAAGCTACAAAGACTAAAATACTTTGGCTATATCAAGAGCTAGACTGAAATATTGTTTCCATATCAAGGGCTAAGACAGACTAAAATATTTTTGACATATCAACGGTAAAGATAGATTGAAATATTTTGGCCATATCAAGTGTTAAGACAAACTTGAATATTTTAGCCGAGCCAAGGGCTCCGATATATTGGAAAGAACAGTCAACATAAAGCATGGTACTAGGAAAGAGAGGCATGGGGCACAAAGAACGTGATATAAATGACATCTTGTGTAGGAAGGTTCACGGGGGGGGGGGGGGGGGGGGATGGCAAGAAATCGAGTTTGTTACAGGCAGACCGTGATGAGGAATAAAGAAATTTCATTTTCAAAGGGTTATGCATTGGTGCCTTTTTGTCTATAAAATATAGGTCTAGCCCTATATACCCATTACACCTGAAGGCTGAGAAAAGACCCTTTACTTTATTTACTGTTATGAATTCAGCATTGAGCATTGGGCTTTTCAAAGGACCTGGTACACGGTGCTGATGAAATACAGTACCATGTGTTCATCTTGTAGCCAGGATGTGTGTAGTTTTTGAAAGTCCCGGCTCCCAAATCGTTGACTTTGACTACTGTTCTCGTGGGCTCCCGGAGTAGGTTGTCTGGATCTCTGTAGTCATCCCATCTGAAAGCTTTTGGAGCAAAGAGACGAAGGGTTCTGTTGAAAGGCACTGTGATAAACCTGGCAAATGATCAATGAAAATTCTTCACAGGAGACCATGCAAAACGTGAACTATACTGACATATATAGTCATATTTGGGTTACGGGACGTGCCTTGCAGTCATATATTTTATATCCTATCATCCCTCAGATAAATGTCAGCATCACTATTCGTTTAGTCTTAATCAAGATTTCAACATCACCGCAATCGAGTTTTGCCATTCTTGCTCCGTTCCTGTGCTAGTGCGAATCAAGTGAAATGTCCTTCACTGTCGTATTTTTAAAACTGGTGAACAGATAATCCCGGAACAATCCAGAAATATAGGCACTCAGTAAATGCGTATTTTAGTTGCTGGAGGCACTAAAGCAAACAATCGTCATCATAAATTTAGTTTGTCGTTTACTTTAGCTTGAAAATAAACTCAATTATTCAAAATTAGCTAATACACAACAGATGAAACAAGTGTACAAGATGAAAATTTATAAATTTTTCTGAAGAAATAAGTATGTGGTAAACGAAACAAACAGACAAAAATCACTACAATTTAATACCCAATATAACACTCTTCAACTGCACAAACAAATGGTCAGATAAGTGACCTTCTAACTTTCTACTTCTTTCTATGAGTGCCGTTCACAATACTTTCTGTTACTTGATTAATTCATAATTTGCAATAGGAGAGCACAGCAGAAGGTGAAAGGTTACGTAAAAGAAAAAGTTGTAGGTAAGTAATGGACCCATTTATGCGCCAAGAGGTTCTTTATGATAACGATGCTATGGATTTGTATGGATAGGTCAGCACTACACATATACTGGGATCAATATAATGTGGCAGAAAACATTTCTTTCTGTTAGGTTTTTGCACCTTGCGATAAGATACTTTTGTTTTGCGATTTCTGTTATGTCATGTACTGTTGTTGTTTGTTTTAGTATCCAGAAGCCATGAGTTGTTAACCCTTAGGCTCGGTATTATGGATATCGCAAGCTTTCAGCCTTGATTCCATTGTAAATACC